GAGTAAGTTGGTAAACTCTGGATTGGGTTAAATTTATTAGGCAAGTTATTTTATTTTACAACTACAACTGTAATTATTATATCAATAATATGTTATAACTATTACCTGATTTTAAACACAACCCAAAAAAAGATTAATTGATCGATTGTACCTTCTTTAGACTTTTCCTATATTAACACCGAGAATAAGTTATCTAGTTTTGGCATTTCGTATACCAAATGATTCAACAATTGACATAACATGAGTTATTGATAAAAATAATATGTCAGATGCACATAACCTTCACATAATATTAAGTATACACAGTGAAATGTGTTAAAGTTTAATTTAAACAAAAATTAGGTATAAATGGGGGTTTTCTTAACTGTTTTGTAAAACTTTCTCGTAAAAAGGAGTTCTCCAGGCCACTCAGAGTGGGCCCTGTTATTTAATCTATTTATTAAACGCTAAATCTTTTGATTACATGTGTGTTGGTTATTTTATAACGAAATACCTCCATCATTTTAGTGCATACATATAGTATATCAAATAGAAATAATCAGGAAAAATCAAGCTTTATTAGGAGAAGAAGCCTATTGATTCTGAAAAAAATTTGATTATAAATGGGAGTTAAGGAAGGGTTTGTTAAATTGTGAAGAGTTTAATATAGAATGCCAGGCATTATATCTTTATTCTAGTTATAAATATATATATTATGTTATTGTTTATTCCGAGGACTTATGAAGTCTCAGCGTTGCTACCCCTAAGGACTTTCAAAGTCTTTAATCAGTTACCTAAACCGTTTGAAAATGCTAGTAAGGAATTATTTTCATTTCTTTTTATTATTTTTTTGCCACTGGTGCATGGATGTTCCTTCAGGACTTCAAGGCACTTTTATTGGTACAATGTGAGTTCTTTCAAGTCCCATTGAAGTAGGACTGGATAGATATTGTCAGGTCCTGGCGATCTCAAAAGAAGTTATGATTGCCCTGGCAAAAAGGTAGTCAAAAACAACGATTAGACTTGATTTGATTCCTTCCTTTTTAAATTATTTATTGTTTCGGCCTTTACTTGATGAAAATCCATTTAATTTTGAAAGAGTAAAACCAAATTTGGTAGATTTTCACACTTTTATTTTAAACACTATGTTCAATTCTTTTGAAAACCTTTACAATAGATCTTCAACTTAATGTATGGTAGTTTCCAAACTATCTTTCCCGGATGTGCCCTGATTTTAAAAAAGGTAACGGGAACGAAATATGCTATTCTGTGTAACATTTTTCTTTCAAGCTACATAATGTTATTTTATCTGAACAACATGGATTCATTAGAGGATAATTTACTATAACTTTTCTATTGTACACAATTGTTATGTGATGCAGTGGACAAAAAAAATCAGGTAGACGTAATGTAGGTTGGATTATGACATACTACTATCAAAACTTCATCATGACTGTCATAAAACCTTATTTATATAACTGATTGAACCGAATTTGTTCAATATATTTGCTCAAACTTCTAAGTTCATCAGGGCTTTATTCTGAATCTTCTTCTCTTTATTATATATCGTAACTAATATTGATATAAAATATTTGCTATAATATACTGATGATTTAAGGAAAAGTCAATAAGGTTACCCAAAGAGATGATATTATTTAACATAATGTGTATATTTAAAATTCAGTTTCCCCATTTATGGTTTAATATAATATTTATTTATAATTAAAATTTTCTTTAGACAAGTATGTTCATCTCAAAGCTTGATTAGAACAGAAACCCACTATGAATGTTAATATTGAGTAACTCTAAATTACGAAGCCATTATAAAAATTAATGATGGCAGCGTCTTGTTATATTTGTAACTAGGGAATAGGTGCTTTTGAGACAGAAATGTCAGAAGGGAGTTTTTAAAATTTTGAAGGATATTAGATTTTTGGAAAAGAAAGGAGTTATAATGGAGTTTTAAAGATAGTTAATTAAAAGTATAAAAAAAAGAAAGGTATATAATTAGGTATAAATGGAGATTTTCTTAATTGTTTTGTAAAACTTTCTCGCATAAAAGAGTTCCCCAGACTACTCAGAGTGGGCTCTATTTAAGCTAATTATTAAACGCTAAATATATATAAATTGTTCTAAATTTTTTTGATTACATACGTGTTGGCTATTTTTTTATGAAATTCCTCCGTCATTTTAGTGCGTACTGTATGTATATCAAATATCAAATAGAAATCATCAGGAAAAATGAAGCTTTATGCGGGGAAGAAAAAAATTCCTTTTCACTTATTTTATATAAAATTAAATTCTCTACAAAAAAGGTCTGATTGAAAATTTTCGTCAGACGAGCCGTTTCTGAGTAATTGAGCTTAATAGATCGATTTGTTTTTTCTATTTTTCCTTTTTACTTTGAAATTTTGTAACTAATGAATCAATGAATATTTAAAAAAACTCACGTCGGATTCTTAAAGGAAATTTAATGTTCTAAAAAAAGGTCTCTTAAAATTTTTGCCTAAATTTAATTCTTCAAAAGTTATTCACGATTAAAATCGAAGAAAAAATTGAAATTTTTTGTAGAGAATTTAATTTTATATAAAAATAAGTGAAAAGGATTTTTTTTTTCACTTTAATGTTTTGACAGTTCAGACTAAAAATCAAAAATAACGATGAAGACCTCTTAAAATTAATATTAAGGGCTTAAATTTTTACGCATTTTTTTTTGTCATCCTGAATGACATTCTCGATATATTTTTCAAAAAAAATAGTAAATTTTTTTGGCCCAGTCTAATAAATATACATATTATGTTATTGTTTATTCCGAGTACTTGTGAAGTCTCAGCGTTGCTACCCCTAAGGACTTTCAAAGTCTTTAATCAGTTACCTAAACCGTTTGAAAATGCTAGTAAGGAATTATTTTTTCTTTTAATTATTTTTTTGCCACTTGTGCATGGATGTTCCTTCAGGACTTCAAGGCCCTTTTATTGGTACGATGTGAGTTCTTCTAAGCCCCATTGAAGTAAGGCTGGATAGATACCGTCAGGTCCTGGCGATTTAAAAGGAAGTTGAATGAAGTCAAAAACAACAACTAGACTTAATTCCTTCCTTTCTACTTAGACTCTGTTCAATTTTTTTGTAAACCTTTACAATATATCTTCAGCCTAATGTAGGGTAGTTTCCAAACTATCTGGAAGCTTTCCCGGATGTGCCTTGTTTTTAAAAAAGATAACGGGAGCGAAATATTCAATATTATTTTATATGATCATTTTTCTTTCGAGTTACATAATGTTATTTTACCTGAACTACATGGATTCGTTAGAGGACAATTTACTATAACATAACATTTCTATTGTACACAGTTGTTGTGTGATGCAGTGGACAAAAAAATCAGGTAGACGTAATGTAGGTTGGATTATGGCATACTGCTATCAAAACTTTATCATGACTGTCATAAAACCTTATTTATATAACTGATTGAACCGAATTTGTTCAATCTATTTGCTCAAACTTCCAAGTTCACATGGGCTCTATTCTGGATCTTCTTCTCTTTATTACATATCGTAACTAATATTGATGTATAATATGCTGATGATTTAAGGAAAAGTCAATAAGGTTACCCAAAGAGATGATAATATATTATTTAACATAATGTGTATATTTAAAATTCAGTTTCTCCATTTATGGTATAATATAATATTTATTTATAATTAAAATTTTCTTCAGGCAAGTATGTTTATCTCAAAGCTTGATTAGAACAGAAACCCACTATAAATGTTAATATTGAGTAACTCTAAATTACGAAGCCATTATAAAAATTAATCGTGGCAGCGTCTTGTTATATTTGTATCTAGGGAATAGGTACTTTTAAGACAGAAATGTCAGAAGGGAGTTGTAAAATTTTAAAGTATATTGTTAGATTTTTGGAAAAGAATGGAGTTTTGAAGATAGTTAATTAAAAGTATAAAAAAAGAAAGGTATATAATTAGGTATAAATGGAGATTTTCTTAATTGTTTTCTAAAACTTTCTCGCATAAAGGAGTTCCCCAAACCTAATTATTAAAGGCTAAATATATATAAATTGTTCTAAATTTTTTTGATTACATACGTGTTGGCTATTTTATTATGAAATTCCTTCAACATTTTAGTGCGTACTGTATGTATATCAAATATCAAATAGAAATAATCAGGAAAAATGAAGCTTTATGAGGGGATGAAGGATATTGGTTCTGAAAAAATCTCATTGAAAATGGGGGTTAAGGGTAGGTCTGTTAAATTGTGAAAAGTATAATATAGAATGCCAGACATTATATATCTTTATTCTAGTTAAAAATATACATATTATGTTACTGTTTATTATAGGCACTTGTGAAGTCTCAGTATTGCTACCCCTAAGGACTATCATGCAAAGTGTTTAATCAGTTACCTAAACCGTTTGACAATGCTATTAAGGGATTATTTTGTTTCTTTTTATTATTTTTTTACCACTGGGGCATATATATTTCTTCAGGACTTCAATGCCCTTTTATTGGTGACAGTGCTGCCTTCATACCTTAATAGTTTACTGATAACAATTGTTATGCTAGTGGCAAACGGTGGTTCTTCGGCTTTATTAGTTATTACAAAAACAACTTTCTTGTTGATCCTACATTTTCAGCTTTACAGGGTGAACCATTAGAAGGAGTCAAAAGTAAGTAGTGCCTAATTAATATTTAAATATTTATCTCTACCACCCTTAGAGTAATTAACTATATCGTGAGTGATTTGTTTTGCAAATTTATTAATTCTCTATTATTTATTAACTTGATTTATATTTTTCCGTAAATAATTGAGATTTTCCTGTTTAATAATTAATAAATAGACATAAGGAACTCGATTTTTTTCACATTTTTCTATACTGCTGGACATGTATCTTGGCCGTATAGAGATTGAATGTTTTTCTATTAAATTAATTGAAAACTAGATATTATCATATATTTAATTGGAGAACATCATGTTTGAACGTAAAGAGAATAAATTAATTGCGTACTAACCACATCGATAATTTGCTGTAGTGTTAGGCCGAATTTCACTTCCAAGGGTTCAGACTCGTTGGCAACGGGCCTTTCGAGAACATTGTAAGACGAAAGCAAATTGTTGAGTAGGAGCTTCTCATGTGGACCTTGTTTTGAACCTATAAGAAAATATTTCAATTAGCAGACTGTTATAAACAATTTTATCCAAAAGTGGTACTATCGAAAGCAGCAAATTTATTTAAAAGATATTTATCGTTTTCCAGCTTAAATCTCTTAGTTTTATGTTAATCTTAGAATTCAGGATGTTTCGTGAAGTGTTATAATTTTTAATTGTTTATTAAAATGCAGGACGCTTCTAGTATACTATACCGTTTCAAGGACAAACGATAAATTTTGGTATGTCAAGACAACTGACGTTACTGAAAAAACGAGGAATTATAGTAACTCCCTCTGATGGATTGTATCATAGTACTAACAGTGAAATGTGAATGGAATGTGTATATCCAAGTGCGCATACCCTGACGGGTGGCACACCATTTTTATGTCGCCAATCCAATATTATAAATACCTTTTTTATAAAAATATAAATAAAAGAGGTAGTTTTTGCAGTGGCGGCTCAAGCACAGCCCTAGACACACCACTAATTTTTATATGCGTTTTTTGTACAATAACTCCTGACCTACTCTTAGTTTTATTGATATGTTAAGTCCAGGACGGACGAATTGCTCTAGAATTGCGTTAACTAAGAAAGATACAAAGTTCATTTCGCTATAAAAAAAAAAACATAAGTTCTTTTTAATTTTAAGATCGATAAAGCAAGTTTTTTTATTTCCAAAGAAATACAGGGAAGTTAAAAGATACCCAACCCTCAACTTTTTTTAAATTTTTTTCTCTTTAGAATATTGGGCCTTCAAATTTACAGCACTGGCAAACTTTTTACAAAAAAAAAACGTTTTTCTGAATGTTAGTTTAACGCCCTGTAACTTTGTTGGGAGCCAGTTTTTGATATAGGTAAATATAGCCAAATACACTTATTTTTTGGTAGAAGAATTTATGACATACCTTTTTGAAACACCCTGTATAATTAGTGAACCAATTTGTGGTTAGTCGAAAATAATTCAGGCTTGGCATCGGTTGTTATAGTGATAAAGTGAATAAAAGTGTTAGAAAAGTGAAAAAAGTGCTTGAATTCTCACATACACAATTCAACTACCCAATAATTGATATCAAAGTAAGTCATAAAATTTTACTATTTTAATATGATCTGAAGCAAGATTTAAATTGAACTGCTTTATTATTCTGTTCGTAAAATACCCTACAATGTCGAATACAAAAGGTGCAAAACAAGTGGTTTCAATTAAAGGTTTCATATATTTAGAGAAAGATTGAGAAAATGAGTAAAAGAAAATAGGAAAATGTATGAAATAATTTTTTATGTCGAGTTACCACCGTAAATACATACTTAGATCTGTATTTCTTATTGTATTTCTACGAATTTATTTCTTAAATATTTCATTTCATTGTTCTTGAATATACCAATCCATGAATCACGTCCTTATATAATTTCTTCTCAGAAAATAAGTTTTCTTTAGTTATCGCAAATGTTCTTAGAAAATTTCTTCTCAGAAATATACGTTTTCTTAATGCCGTCAAACTTTTTGTTTGATCATTTTGTATCGTCAAGAAATATTAATCTTTATAGGTTATCATGTTTAACAAAATAAATTGTATAATGAAAAATCTTAAATACGGAGAAATCTTGTTATGAAGGTTTTTTTTTTATAATAACTTAATTTACTACTAAAAAATCTAGATTTCATCTGTATTCAATACGTACTATTTGTTAACATAATCTGCACACTAATTCTGATTTATTACCATGACTTTGTCTAAAAGTTGGAGTACTTCAATGCTGATGTGTCTTGTGGAGCCTCTCCTTATGTCACTTGGCAATTTTCTTAATTTCTTTAACTTGGAGGTTCTTATTACGAACATACCAAGGAGCATGAACTATGTTCCTGAGAGTTTTTAGTCAATTAAAATTACTTTTTCTGGTACATTCCATAATTGTAGGCCATACATGTCCATACTGGCTTTACAACTTGTTTGTAAACCAGGACTTTTGGGTGGACAATGAAAAGTGCCTTTCTATCAACCAATCCATATTTATATTTTAAATGTTTAGTTGTTCAGTTTCTTCCATTTTAATTTAGCATTCAGATTTAGACCCAGACAATTTACTTTTTTCTTATTTGGTATAATATTGTTATTTAAGTTTTTTGGTATATATTATTATGATGGGTGAGGCTTTCCGGGTTTTCCTCACCTGTGAGTCAAATGACACCATCAATCATCGTTAAGTCGCCCCGGAGCGCCACGGCGAATAATAATATCCGTCCCTTCCCCGGACAAGCTCAGTTTTTGGGGTTGAAATTCACTCGTAAGGGGATGAATTAGAGAGAGCATTATTTTATAATCTATTCTTCTATTAGTAAAGTTATTACATTTATTACGTTACACAAATTATATAATATAAAAGCCTGTCATGAGATTTACATATTATACGTAATGAATTTAGTGTAACGTCATTTTATTTTTATTTTTTTGTTCGTATTTTTCTTGGAAACCCTTTTAATTGATACCCATATCATGGGGGTGCATAAAAAATAACTAATCCGCCATTTTGGGGAGTTCGCTATATTGGATTTAGAATGACGTTACTTAGCTAACCATGCATTGTCATCTAATCTTAACGGGTATGCAAAATTTCAGTTCAATCGGTTGGAGATAGTTTTAAAATTCAGTTGTAAAATATGACCTAAATAAAGTAACATAAAATCATTGCATGCTAAATAAAAACTTGTAAAAAGAGAAGCCCTATAAGTGCTTTTAGAAATAATTATTATACTTTAAAAGGGCTTCAAATGTGCAAAATATGTCAAATATAATACTCTCAACCTCAACAGGAGTCTCACACAGTGCGGATATTAAGTATCCCCCACTGTAAACTCCGATATTTAAAACAAAGGTGAAAAATACCAATTTTAATCGAGATATTTTATATCTTCCTCCTCTTTCATTCCCTCCACGTGACAGCCACAAACTCATTTTTTTAAACAGCAAGAGGGGTGCCGCGTGACCCCTCTTTGTTTGAATGGGCTTGAAAGTCAGAGTTTAACAATAAAAATTAATATTTTATTCACACAATATCAAACCTTTACAAAAATCAATTCATAAAAAATATACAGGGTGTTTCAAGAAGGTATGTCATAAATTCTTCCTCAGATAGATTTTTGTATTCAAGAAAGAGGAGGACATGTTGAACATTTACTAAATTAAATAGTTTATAAAATATGTATAATAATTATTGTCAAGTGTTAATTTTTTGTTAATTATTTACTTAAAAAAATAATTTTTGTTAGGAGATAGTTTTTGATATAGATAAATATAGCCAAATCCACTTATTTTTTGGTAATCTATCTGAGGAAGAATTTATGACATACCTTTTTGAAACACCCTGAATATTTTTTAACATGTATAACATAAATGGTGCGAATAAAAATACTTGGGAAAAAGTGTCATAAAACACTTGTTTGCAAAAGAATGAATCACATGAATTAAAGAATATAAAAGTATAAAAATTAAAAATCAATAAATTTAAAAAAAAATACAAAAATAAAAAATACAAAAAAAACATAAAAACCAAAAAAACAGAAAAATATATAAATATACAGTATGAAGAAACGCGGATAAACCAATTCACTAAACATTAAAAGCATTTAAAAACATTCTCCCAATTTTAAATATTATGTTACCAGTTTTCAGTGGCGCATCCAGAGTTTAAGTCTGTGGGGGTAGTGGTAATATAGTTTAAGTCTGAGGGGGTAGTGGTAATATTTAAATTACCACTACCCACTACATTTTAGTACCTATATAAAGTTAGGTTTAAAAATTCTTAGGGGGGAATTACTCCCATTACCAACCCCCCCCCCCCCTTATATGCCCCCTGCTAGTTTTTTTGACAAATTTCTGGAGTTAAGTAGAGAACATTATGAGCACCTTCTGTAATAATTTATAGTTTATTATTGTAATAATTTTTTTTTATTTAGTGTCACCGGCATATCAACTACTAAGGTTAAGCCTCGTGTTCTGTGTAGGCTTTGTTACTGTTTCCCAGCGCCTCTTTAGGAACAGCACTGTTAATTAGAACCCAACAGTGAATGGTCGAATGGGGAATCCTACCAAGGCATCAGAATTAATTTTAAATAATTAAATAAAAAAATCCCAGGCAACGATGGGATTCGAACCTAGAACCCTTGGATCCGCAGGTAGAGACTCTACCACTGAGCCACCCACTCCCCCTGTTATAATTTATTAAATTTGAAAATGTAATAAAAGTCCTTGCTTATGTTTGTTTATTTTATTTAAAATTATTGTGTCGAATAAGACCTTAAGTACAGGGGAAGTTGTCCCAGCGCCGGAAAGTTCCCAATACCGGACAATTCCGGTTGACTCGTTCCTATATTGAATAAGAGAATCCCTCTAATTTATTTAATTAGTGCGCTATTGTCGAAATATTTGTGATTAAGAGCAAACCGAACCTCTTGCGGTGTCCCATTACCGGACACTACTACTATTCCCAGTACCGGACATTACTACTATTCGCACTACCGGACATTAAATAATAGATCATTCGAGGTAGACATGGAATAACCAGTTGATCGTGTGAGATCTGATCAGTTTAGAGTAATAGCAGCCGTTAAGTTTTCAGTTCCCAAAAGCTCTTCAGGAGATCGGAATACAGCTCCATAACTATTTAATAATTGTTTTTGTTCAATAAATATAAATACAAACTTATCTATAATTATTTACCAGTTTTATGAGTCAGATTATACTATCCGATATTGGGAATATGTTGGTGTCCGGTACAGGGAACAGTTTTTAACAATTTTTTGAAAATTTAAAATTAAACTACTATATTAAATTCTTATTAAACTTAAACTTTACTAACTTTTGAGTAACATTGTTGTCTTTCAGCATACATTTTTACTTTTTTTATAACGAACCACATTATAAATAAAAAGGGAGAAACCTTAGGTGTCCGGTACAGGGGCAACTTCGGCTATATATTTTTGAAGTCTGCTTTCAAGTCATTTCCAACAAATTGCCATACGATTCTTCTTGTTATTTAAACAATGGCTGTCACGTGGAGGTCATTAAAGGACAGGCAGATTTTTTATGTTATAAAACGCCTCGATTAAAACAAAAATTTATTTTTTAAGTTTGTTTTAAATAACAAAGTTTAAAAAAAGGGGTAAGAATGTATAATTATTATTTCGGATCAGATTCTCAAAAGTACAATACGTATTTGAGTATAAAAGGTAAAAGGGTACAAAATTGAGAGGTGAATACAAATTTGGCTAAAGTCAACAAAGAGAGGGTGCCGTTAAAATATTCAATGACTAAATACACAAAGCATTCATGAAATTAATTAAAAACAATTACGACATTTCTGTTATTATTTTAGAAACAGTATAAAATAAGCATTGTAGTGAATAACATCTACTTATATGTATACTAAACATTAATTGAAATTATCTACCTATACATCTTATTAGATTAAATTAACATAAATGTATACAAATTAGGCTCGTAGAAGTATTAAATTTGTTTTATCAATTCAATTGTTGGGCAGTAAATATAAAAAATAAAAAACGCATGACCTATATTTAAATTCATTGAATTAAATAGTAAAATAATTTTTAGAATTTGCGAAATGTTGAAGTTATTTTAAAAGAATTTAAAACAAAATAAAATTGCTACTTTATCGAGCAGGTAATAAGAGAAGCAACAGCAATTTTTTAGATACATTGTTGATTGATTAGGTGAAATTGATACTTCGCTGTATAATAGAAGATACAAGGCCAATGTTCGCTTGAGGATAGAATATATTTGTAGATATATGTTTAATTGATTAAAACTTTTTAAGAATTTAGAAAATGTAGAAGATTGTTTCAAAACTTTAAAAAACAAGGTCAATTTTATAATTCAAAAGTAGATGTTTCATAAGTCGCTAAAATTGCTAAGTAATTGAAGAGGCACGTTCGGATATCAAATAAGCTTTGCAGATTAATGCGCGTTGATTGTCTTTTTTAAATTCCCCAAATGTAGAAGTGTAATGATCGAGGGCAGCTTATAACTTTGTAGGCACTTGGTAATTTGATTAGATCTTTTTTAGAATATAGAAAATGTTGAAATGGTTTATTATTATTATTGTTCTGAGCATAATTAAAAAAAAGTAGTTAAAGTCCGAACTGAGAGTGAGGGAAGTTTGCAAAAGAGAATGAAAATTGTTGATGTTTACCTGGCAACATGATGACAATCAGAAGAACAGCCACCAAAGTCGGTCTCATTCGTACGTTCCTCACCATCCTACTGTGGATAAATGATCATGGCTCACTGATGAAAGTGCCTCCTGACTTGGCAGTCATGCCTTAGGAGGTACGATAAAACCGAGCCGCGTACATTTTTGAACACGCCTACGGCAGGCAAGCCTCTACTACTAACTGAGCATTACCATTGCACCCTCTACTACTGGCATTGGCATTGCCATTACTACTCGTCTCTATCCCTATCCTGATGCGGAGACGGAGCTGAATGATCGATAGGGGCCAGGAATGCGCGCGCTAGGACCCATTTTACTCTCCCGGATCCCCGTGTCTCTTGTCTGACCTCCACCACTACCTCTCAGAGGCGTACTACGGCGCCGCAGCCTTTCTTTAAATCCAACGGCAGGCATCCTGCTCTCGCCGCTGCCTCTGCCAGAGCCTATCCAACATCCAACACATCGTTCCTGAATGCTGTCGAGGACAACGCTGGAGTTTCGCTACACACACGTTCGACAATTACTAACGCATCAGTTCATACCTACGAATCAAATTCCTAAAATGTTCAACGCGTTGATAACACTTTATAAAAGAAACATTGTACAATACCTATAGTGGTCAAGCTGAAACGTTTTAAAAACATTATGATACAACTATTATTTTAGAAATGTCAATACATTTGTCAAATCCACTAAAGTTTCTTTCCAAATGTAAAGTTATAAAAAATCTGTATCTGTAAGGTAGGGTAGGGTAGGTTATCCCACCTCAATGGGACAAATCTTATGGGAATAAATCGCTTATTGTGAGATTCTTTTGAATTTCAGATATGTTGTAGATATCGACCTATTGATCAAAAGTTACGATTGCCGGAACTTGTATACAGGGTGCTAAATTATCTTTTATCTAACTTAAGAAAAACCACATATTTATTTAAAATGCACTTTCACAAAACCTGTCGTTGAATTTTTCATGTTTTCCTCGAAGCCATCCTTTTTCAAGTTTCGCGGGAAAACTTAGCAAGGTCCTTCTACTTTCTTGATACAGGGTAGTCATCTTGGGGGAAAATATTTTGTCACATTTATGTATTCATTTTAAAAACTATTTTAGTTATTTTTTTACTAGTTACGTTTTCAGTTCGCATATATACAAAATAATATTTTCAGTACCAATATTTATTTAAAAAATATTAACATTTGTTTCATTTTTCAGTTCAGACTTTTTAATAATGCTAGTTTTAAGTTGTTTCTCTGTATTCAAGTAATAAAGTTGATGATTTATTTTTATTAATAGAAGATTACTGTTTCCCTCACATTTTATTATTAACGGAACATTGGCTTGAAAAAGATGTTCCAAATTATGACTTAATAACTGTTTTTTGCAGAGAACTGTATGAACACGGGGGTACAGCAATCTAGAGGAAAAATAATTTGAGTTTTCCATTATTTCTATTCTTAAATTTAATATTTATGTTATTGTATCTATAGATCATGCACCAAATTCAAATGTTTCAGTTTTTTAAACAATTTGGAATCTTTGCTAAGTAGATTTTCTACATCATCTAAAATAGTTTTGACAGGTAACTTAAATATAGATTATCTCAAGGATGATGATAATAGTACTGTTAGATTAAAACATTTATTAATTTTCTTTAATTTAAGTAACAAGGATAGCGGAATGTTCCAAAACGTTCTGTACTTCTTACGAACCTGCTAATATATCGTGTACAGTGAATCCCAGCGGCCTGTCCGATCATAAAGCCGTTTTAACTTCGATATCTCTTGAGCACAAATTTCCTAAGACTAATTCTCGTCATGGCCGATTGTTTAGTAAATCTAATTATGGAAAATTTCATTCAGTATGTAAAAATTTTAATTGGTACAGTTGCTTTACTGGTATATCTCCTTTTAACGATTTTTATTTAAACTTAAGCAAATTTTTTAATGCGTCTTTCCCTATTCAAAAAATAAAAATTAAGCAAAAAAGCCATGGATTACAGCTGGTTTAAGATGTTCATCAAAAAATATGAAAAATGTAAGGGGAACTTGGTCTATTATTAATGAATTGAGAGGCAACAGTACCCATAAATCATGCAATGCAAATATAAATCCTAACGATTTCAATACATTTTATTGCAATATCTCCGAAAATCTAACAAAAATCTAAATAGAACAATTGACCCATTAGAATTGGTAAAATCGTCACCAATTAAATACTCATTTTTCTTAAGAGAAACAAATTCCTTAGAAATATTAAAAGTTTGTAATGACATACACAACAAAACCAGGGCCGCCGAGAGCCAGGCCGGGCCTTAGGACAATTTTCTAGATCGGGCCCCGTGACAAATAAAAAATATTCCCTCCTCCTACTTCAATTTCTGTACAACAAAAAAAACTTTTCCTCCTCTACTTCAATTACATTTTCTAAAAAAAAGATCTTCAAGGAAAAACTTTTCCTCTCCTACTTGAATTGAAAAAAAAAGGTCCCCAACCAAAACCTTCCCCCTCTTGTCTTATGCCGAACTTCTGAAAGAAAACTAAAAACCTTGCCGCGATTGCCGGGCCCCCCTAATACCATTGCCGGGCCCTCATTTGACCCCCCCCCCCCTCTCTAGTCGGCCCTGAACAAAACTGCATCAGGATATGATGGAATGTCAGAAAAAATATTTCAAAACTTACATACCTCTGCATTAGACGTTTTGTCCATTTTAATAAATAAAAGTTTTAATGAAGGAACTTCTCCTCCTTTTCTTAAAACGAGTGTTGTGGTTCCATTATTTAAAGGAGGAGACTTGACTGAGCCGTCTAATTTTAGGCCCATATCTCTAATTCCTACATTGGAAAAAATTATTGAGAAACTTGTAAAAATTCTACTGCTGTTTCTTCTTGTCTGGAATTAGCCTATACAGATATAAATTTCAACGAGGCCGTAGCTGCAGTATTTTGTGATCTGACTAAAGCTTTTGACTGCCAACCACGGTGTACTGCTGCGAAATCTTGAAGTTTATGGCATAAGAGATGTGGCCTTGAGTTGGATGAAATCCTACCTTTTAGATCGCAAACAGTTAGTCCAAACTGTTTCAGACTCGAAAACAGGTGACATAAAATGGAGTGTCCCTCAAGGTTCTGTTCTTGGGCCCACCCTGTTCTTAATTTATATAAATGATTTAGGTAAGGTAAATATCTCAGAAAGTTTCACTCTATTTGCTGACGATACTACTATCTTGTGGCATAATAAAGACGTCAATATTCTTTATGCAAATATTAGTATTATTATTAGTTATTTATGATGGTTTACCACAAGGGTCTGTGCTCTCTCCAATGCTTTTTAACATTTATACAGCAGATTTGCATAGTATGTTTGATGAAAAAATTAAAATAATTCAATATGCAGATGATATTTGTATATACACAATGCAGTGTGTCATATACTGGATTGGCTGCAAGAGTTATGGTTTACTATTTCTCCAGAAAACTCGTTAGTCATATTGTTCACAAGACATAGAATTAGTAGTTTCCATCAAACCCTTAATATAAAAAATACAACGTTCCCAATTGTAAACCAGTACAAGGCACAGTGCTTGACACAAAATTGTTATGAACAAAACACATTGCTCATATACAAAATAAGTGTGAAAAAGGCAATAACATGCTGCGATATGTTACGAAAACTAAATATGGTGCAGATCCCAAAATGGCCCTTATATTCTATAAGAGCTATATTAGGTCAATTATGAACTATGGAAGTGTGTTATATGGATCAGCATCCCATACTTATTTAAAAATAATCAACCGAATACAATATGCTTTGCAATGCGAAAGTGGTATCGCCATCTATACTTAGTAAGCAAAATCAAAGGTCGCTGTAGTATCTAGTTCAGAGACTAGGTGGAATAAAAGCCAGACGGGCTATTTTTAAAAAAGGAAATATTTCTAGTCCTTATAAGGACGAAACCGGTCCAAGAATGACTTTCTTCTTAGTGGGCAAAATCAAAAATTACATCTAGTGGATATCCACCATGGTTTGCGTTCGCATCTAGACTTTGATATATTTAGTGGATGTCCATGGGATATTGAATACACATCAAAAAATTAATTTTAAATATCTAAACGGTACTATTAGCCACAATGGCATAATTTTTTAATAATTTGCTATTATTATTATTATTTATGGACATTTGCATGTCTATAAATTACATCTCATGGATATAAAATAGATATCCACCATGGACTGGTCATTCAGAGGATATTGGGATGTCCAGTAGATATCCAAAGGATTTGGTGTGCTGTCTGGGAATACTCTGTTTGTCAATAAGTATTTTAACTTGGACAATAAACGTCTCCCTCTCTCTCTCTTTCTCTCTCTCTATAAAAAAAAAGAAAGGGGTGCCACAATTAAATTTAAAAATTAAAATTACATTAAACAAACATTTAACAACAAGAAAACTAAAAATAAACAGTTCTGTGTGTTCTAGAAAATGTTTTTTTGTAACCTGTGATGTCCTCGAAGATTAAGTAAATAATATAACAATCCTAAACAGCATTTTTTTTGCGCATCTATAAGAAATAATTCTACGACAGTACGCCACTGGCTATCTTTGCGAATTTTGTACCTTGCTATTATACACTTTTTAAGATACTTACAAAAACTTGCTGGTCATGATTGTCATGTTGCCGACGACATTTACATACATAATAAAGATTCAAGTACTATATTTTTAATAGCGATACAATGAAAAAAATTAAAGTGCGACATTTGAGTTTTGACAGACAGTTCTCTCCACACATTACGCCGAACTTTTGGCGGTGTGATTTTGTCTGTGTAGTAGGTATAATATAGTGGTTCACTATCTCGAGCAGTGTTGGAGTTTCTAGGCGCATTATTCAGTTATTGTTTCTGGTGCAAAATTATTTAAATTTTGGTGAACCGGTCTAATGGAAATAAAAGGCAAAACAGGTAAGTTTGTTTTATTACCTACTATTACATAAAAGATGTTTAATTACAAAATGAAACCAGTTATACTGTCGAAAACCCGCCAAATGTGATTTCCTTACTTTTCTCGGTTGATATTATAAATAAAAACAATTGAATTTATATATTTTTTAAAATAAAATTCAGTTATATTATATTGACATGATGCCCAGCATTACAAGGTTTACAAATTTTGATCATATGAGATGAATGTATTCCAAACTAGATAGATTTTGTATGATTTCTTAAAAAAAAATTAAAATTGATTGTAATATTAAAATAATTAGAATAACTACCTATTGCTGTTCAAATAATTCAGAAAAACTAAAGAAAATAGAAGAACGACCAATTAATGCCTTCAGACGAAATGCTCCCAAAATATAGCTTTCAAAAGCAATAAATAGTAAGTATACCAAACAGAGCAGCGTAGGAGGAATTCACGCAGAAATCACCTGGTATACAAATTTCTCCAAAGCCCATGAAGGACAGGAGTATAGTGTCAAGCCAAATAAAAGAATCTCACTGAGACTAACCTCAGCCTAGGTACCAGAACACTGAGAACATTTGTGAGCTTAATAAATGTATGTAAAACATCGGCCTGGCAGAGGAGACCTTGTGCCGATTCTGTCAGGAAGAAGAAGAAACTGCTACCGTCTGATGGATTCCTCCGGTTCAAAGGCAAGCCGAACGATTCATTTCATATCTGCTATGGAGAAATAAACAACTATAATTACTCATCTACCGTTGCCTTCTAACATATAATTTTAACAAGATGCAAAACTAGTGCAAACAATCCAAACAAGTTCTATATCACTGTAGAACGCTGTTCAGAAACCGGATAAAGTATCTGGAAGAGGTGCTATTAAAGCATGAAGAGCTCTTAGAAAATTCCTGCTTAGATTTATGATTCTTGGAGCTTTGAGATCCTAATATATTTATGATATTATATTTACAATAGAGCCTTGTTAGGTAGTTGTGAGACAAGGGAATTAGTACCACAATCTACATGTGCACCATTGTTCAGCTAAGTCCTCTGTTATCTAACAGTAGTATAAAAAATAACAGTGTGTTAACAGAATTTGCTATGCACCAACAGGACAAATCTGGTTTGTTACATTAACAACGCCTTTAACAGATTGTTAGTCGTATTTTGTAATGGTGACTCTCTGATAACTATTAACAGAAGAATGGTGCATATGGCCGTAAGGGCATCAAGAATGGAAAGTGTTTTTGGATGCAGTATGCATTCGAGAATAGGTCTTGTTTAGATAACAAATGCTCCCAAATTATACCTCTGGAAGGAGAAGAAGAAACCAAATAGTCGAGTCTATGCAAATGAAACGTGATTCGAAAACAATTCACTTTATCCATAACCTTTTCATATTGCGTAATTTTTACAATTCTGCATTTTATTATCTTATCAATTTGTGTCGATCTTAAGCATGATTTCTGCATGATACGCCATTGGTGATGATAACACGTTTACTTATCTATTTGAATTTTATCTACCGACCTGACCTTGAAGTGCTACGGATTAAAATATGCAAATTTTATCAAAATACTAGTTCGATAAAGAAAGGAATCTAATATTTCTCGAGCTGCGGAGTAAAATAATATCATGGTGCTTGAAACATATAGGGTACATAAATGATTTTAAATGAATAATGATTTAGGTATTTGGATGAATAATATTAGGTTGTCAGGCATATTTTATTTAAGATAAGACAAGCTTTAAAAAGATGGAAGTTAACTTAGACCAAATTTTATCACTTTTGGTTTTTAAACTCATAAACAAGCTAATTCAATTATCTTGCTGTTTAACTTATTTAAGTCATTTCAAACAAAATGATTGGCCTGTGGGCTTCGATATGGCAACATTGGCAACATTGGCAACCCTGTAGGACCGATGGATTTGACAAAGTTAATGCTATAGATAATTATATATCCCTGAAAGGCCTGTACCGAACGCTAGCACAAATTCATTAAATCATTAGGGTAAAATATGAGGATCTAGCACAATTTACCTTAGTCGAAAAGTTGATAGCTTTTAAATTACAGGGTGTCAAAGTTATATTTTTTTATACTCTTTTTGTATAAATATTTATCTTAATAATGGTATGATTTGCAGGAAATTTGGTAATTGGGGATTTTTAGGATGAAAAATCGAAATTGAATACTGCAGGTATACGTAGTAGATGTCACTACGCGCGGCAGCCACATCTGACAGAATTGAATTTAAATATTTTATTGCATTTTGACACTCATTGTAGCAACGAGTAAACTTAACTACTAGCGTTGGAATTGGGCCTTATAGGCAGAAGCAAAATAGTTAAATAATATTTTCTGTTCTGTTTGTGAACTGATTTTCTTTTTTTTATTTTTGTTTAGTATCAATAAAAAAAGGGAGCTTTACCTAACTTGAAGCCACTCCCAATCCTACACTTCCTTGAGAAGATAGGATTGGAAGAGCCGTTATAGGCATCGAGACATTTCCTGCATTAGCGACTGATAAAATAGCATATAACGAACATGTGCACCCTTTAATTTCGAACATGGAAAATATTACATGGACGGATAGAGGATTGCGAAAAAAATACTTCTCCCCCACTCCTTCAGCTTCTCCCCCTCTTCGTCTGCCACGCCTATATGGTAAGCAATAGAACAGCCCAACATCCCCCTACTTTTCCCCCCACCCCAGGGGAGGTCGATATATAGAACCGCTAGACTTAGGAAAATGAACTTCTGGGTACGATGGATTGGACTTTGAGGTGAAAAAAATACAGTTTAAAAGTTGCACACTTTTGGATTCTGGATATTTTTTATCCCCCCCCCCCCCCCCCCCTAGAGAACCAAAATATAAGACGTAATCCGTTTTTCGTTGACAATTGATTATATCACTTTTGGGTAGAGCGCATGATTTGTACCGTAATATTTGCTGTGTTTGAATATCCACATCGGATGCATCTGAGTTGTGAATTTTTTATCACGTGATAGAGAATTAGATTTAAATGTAGATGTAATAAACAAACGCTTTAGATGTAGTGAAAATAACAAGTTAGAAGTTTATACTTTTTGCGTTTGACTTTTGAGACTAGAAATCAATCTAAATTTGAAATCTAAACAAACTTATCACTTGTATATTCAGGCTAGCATAAATAAAGGATAAATCAATAATCTTGGCTTCATAGAACAGCTACTTTCTGGCATAGAACGAACATCTTATTCACATCTCATTTCAAATCGAGATGTAAAAAATGTAATCTGGACAGCTACATCTGGGATAAACAAACGCAGATGTAGATGTGTCCGATGTGGATAAACAAACGTTCGAGATGTAAAAAATGCATCCGATGTGGATATTCAAACGCGGCATTTCTTACTTCAAGGCATAAACTTATTTTGGAAAACATGGACGCTCAATCTATATAACCATCTATAAAATTGACCTGTCAGATCCACTAGTTTCTTATTAATGCCCAGGGCTGGTATATCTTACCAGCCCTGATTAATGCCTACAGGCAACCATTTTGTTTTGTCCAAATCCGTATTTCCGATGCGTCCGTCCGCGCCGCGCCCGATACGTTCGTACGCGTCCGATACACGTTCTAAATGGGCGCTCACCTTTAGATCACTATATAACCTTGAAAGTTTTGTTATTGAAATTTGATTGAAAGTCATCAGTGTAAAAAATGTTTTATTGGGCCACCGTTTAATGTAGACTATAATCTGAATCCTTTCTCTCATTTATCGTGCTATATTTTTTGATATTCCAATAATTTAGTGTCTTTTGATAATTACAATCACTTCCACATTCCACATCAACACTGCTAAAATGTACAAAAGACTAATCCCTGATGAATTCGATGGTATAACAATTTTGTTCTATTTATGTTTTTATTAATATTTAATCAAATCATTTTCAGAATCGAAGTCTGCAGAACTATGTCTAAATCTATACAGAAACTCTTTGAAATCAAAAGATATGGATCATGATGGAACTCACTTTGATAGTCTGTATCCTCATGTTTTCGTAACGTTAGGGGCTTCGGTAAGTACATATAATGAAATAAGAGTTCTCGAAAATAATTTTCCTAATTTTAGGGTGATTTGGCTCGTAAAAAAATTTATCCTACTTTGTGGTGGCTTTTCCGTGACAATCTGTTGCCTGTAAATACTGTTTTCTTCGGTTATGCGAGATCCAAGACTTCCATTAGTGATATTAGAAAAAAATGTGAGCCCTATATGAATGTTAAACAAAACGAACAACAGAGATATGAAGAATTTTGGAAATTAAATAATTATACATCAGGACAGTATGTATCAAGGACTGATTTTGAACTTTTAAATAAAGAGATAGAAAAATTTGAAAAAGTGCCAGTTGCAAATAGATTATTTTATCTAGCATTGCCACCGTCCGTTTATGAAGATGTTACTGTTCACATAAAGAATACATGCATGGGAAAAAAGTAAGTTTTTTTTAATTAATGTACTGTGAGGGTTTTAGATGTTCTATACAGATATTTTAAATCCCTGATCACAAATTGTGTAGGAAGTAAGTATTGCCAAAGTCCTTGGTTTCAATAGTTGCTTGTAGGTTTCAAATGTAACCTATTATTACTGTACAATTTTCTTTTAGAGGATGGACAAGAGTAATAATAGAAAAACCTTTCGGCCGGGACTTACAATCTTCTGACAAGCTCTCAAATCACCTTAGCCACCTGTTCACAGAAAACCAAATTTATAGAATAGATCATTATTTAGGAAAAGAAATGGTACAAAATTTGATGACACTTAGATTTGGTAATAGAATATTTAATCCCACATGGAACAGAGATAACATAGCTTCAATTCAAATAAGTTTTAAAGAACCATTTGGTACTCAAGGAAGGGGTGGATATTTTGATGAGTTTGGAATCATTAGGGATATTATGCAGAACCATCTTCTACAAATTTTAACGTTGGTGGCAATGGAAAAACCTGCCTCCTGTCAACCTGACGACATTAGGAATGAAAAAGTAAAAATTAAATTATGTTTTTCAATATATCAATCTCAGTTATACAGAGTCATAATTATCTATAGAAATTATTATTATTATTGTTTAGAACAGGCAAGTGATATAGTCCTTTAGTTAGTGACAAAAATTATTCTAAATCACTACATGACAGTTAAAATCCAATACACTATAATGAATAAAACTATTTTTTATTTCTTTGAGTTCTATATTCACTCTCACCTTGAACTGTTTTATATTCTGGGCTGAGACTGTAATATGAAATAGAATGGTTTATGATGTATTTGGCTATATAGATGAATAATTATATATTTTTTTACTATTTTAATTATATTGCCATTATAGGTAAAGGTTTTAAAAAGCATTCAAGTGATCCAACTAAAAGATGTTGTCCTTGGACAATATGTAGGTAATCCTAAAGGAGATGGTGATGCAAAATTGGGATATCTTGAAGATCCCACTGTACCAAAAGATTCCATTACCCCCACTTATGCCTTAGCTGTGTTGCGAATCAATAATGAGCGATGGGATGGAGTGCCGTTTGTACTTAAATGTGGAAAAGGTAACATAACTAAGTACTGTTATGATTTTTACTGTCACTTCATAACCTCACAATAAAAAAAAATATACACATTAACTTGACTTACCTTGGCTAGCTTTTTTTTAATATATATTTTAGCACTTTTGTAGAGCAGATTTTCTTTATAACAGTGGTGGCGGTTCAAGAAATAAAATATTTTATAAACTTAATTAAATTTTTTATTTAGTTCATTTATTTATTAATTAGTAACAACAACAATTCCAACAATATAATACCTTGACTGTAGTTTATATAATTAGTTAATAATATTATGTGTTAATATTTGTTATTATTGTTAGTTGTATCACCCTGTAAAAAAAATTCTTTTTTTAAATAGACAAATTCTAAATACAAAACTTTCTAATTTATTATCAGTAAATTGTAACAAATTTCTGAACATTAGAAAATTTTCTTATCTCCTAACTAAATTAACTAAGCATCCATTCTTCACCATTCACACTTATTATTATTATGATCTATCAGACAATTTAAATTAAAACTTTAATTCAAAATCTGACTTAGTATCTTTTAAAGTGACATTTAATCAAATTTTGACATTTCTATAATCAAATGTAATAATTATATTCTAATATCTACAATTAATCTACTGTCTGATAAATGTATCACTAATAGTAAAGACAGCCCCTGGCAAATACCCAATCAAACAATAAACTGTCCTCTATTTTCACATCAATAAAGCCTTTACTACTCACATGAAAATGTCTGTTTTTCTAACTGGAATAAAATCTCCTATTGATTGCATTTCCACCTTTGGCAATCAAGCTGTAATTTGTACCATCCTCTGGTCACCATACAATTCAACCAGTCCACTACTCCACCGTACAATGGACCGACACCACATGTCTATTTGACCTCTCAACTATTGTACAGTATCACAAATTTTTATAATTCTTTACAATTTTACTGAAACTTCCGAATTTAGATTTTTAAAAGCCTTTGAAACTCAAAAATTGGTTCTCAGTCAGATTTATTTTTAACAACCTTCCCAAAATCTATCTGTTTTCTCCCGTCTCGCCGGATATTTCTGCCTTTTTTTTATTTGACATCTTAACTCAAATTAAATTTGATACACAGGGTGATATTTTTTAATTTATTATTTACACAAATATATATTTTCCTGACCAACTTTTCATCTTAAATTCTTGATGATTCATTTATATTACAATACATTTCATATAATCCCAAATACCACATAATTAATAAAATAGATTACCTATAAATATTTTTTTTGCATAATTTTATTTCAGCCCTGAATGAACGTAAAGCAGAGGTAAGAATCCAATTCAAAGATGTTCCTGGAGATATTTTTGATGGTAAACCAAAAAGAAATGAATTAGTTATCCGTGTCCAACCTGGAGAAGCTTTGTATGTTAAACTGATGGTCAAAACTCCCGGTATGGCTTTCGATATGGAAGAAACCGAATTGGATCTAACATACGGAAGCAGATATTCGGTTAGTTATCATGATTTTAGAGGTTGGACTTGAGAAAATGAATGAATTTAAAGAAATTATAATTTTTATTTTTAGTCCTATATTTTGACTCTCCCTGTAAATATTAAAGATTTCTTGGCGCCATTTTAATGAGCACAAAACTATGCAACTTTTTTAATATAACCAACTTTCTATCTGTTACAGTTTAAGAAATAACAATAGTCCCTATGAAATATTTCTCCTCTTCTCTCTAAATATTTTTAAGCTAAACATAAAAGAAAACCTACTCAGTACTCAATAATATTATTGTTTTCCTTCTCTTTGATTATATGTATTTATATTTAGACTGTTACCAAAGAAGGTTAAGAGTTAAAGAGTAGCTTGCTAGCTAATCTTCACCTTCTTTGGACAAATGTTGTACATTTGGCAAATAAAGACATAATAAATAAATATTAGGAACCCTGTATATAAATATCTGTTTGTTACATAAACAGTGTAACAATTATAAACAATGTTTGTGTTACAAATAGAAAAATAGTATACTAGTAATTATTTTTTTAGAATGTTAAACTTCCCGATGCATATGAACGTTTAATTTTGGATGTCTTCTGTGGATCACAAATGCACTTTGTCCGTTCTGATGAATTGAGTGAAGCTTGGAGGATATTCACTCCATTGTTGCACCAAGTCGAAGAAGACAAAATAAAACCTATTCCATACATGTAAGTATTTTTATCAACGTTTAAAATTTAGTTATTAGAAATGCAGATCCAAATTAAAAAATTTTATTTGCAGATATGGAAGCAGAGGTCCCAAGGAAGCAGACGAATTGTTGGGTAACAATAACTTCTGCTATACAGGATCGTATAAATGGAAACAAAATCTTTAAAATATGTGATATAAAATTTCTTAAGCTTTACAAACATTCCTAAGTTTTTTATTATATATTTATATTTACGATTCAAAGTTGTTAATGCATTAAGGAAATTGTTGGCAATAAAATATTTTTTAACTTTGTTATATTATTTTATTTACAATACACAATTTAAATAAATTAAATACATATAAAATTATTTCAACAATGTTGTGTTTGAAATCTGTAAAAAAAAATAAAAAAATAAAATTAAAAAAGTATAATACTGAAAGTGTTAATTAAGTTTAGCAACGAGATTCATGACATGCACATTGTGTCTGTAAGAATAGTTAAAATGTTAATAGTTGATACATCAGCATGATAAAATTAGCTAGTAAAAATTAGTTTGTGTGCCATCACCATAACATCACAATCACAATAATTAAAATTTACCATGGTCTGATGTCGGACTGTAAGATGTGATCAATAATTCTTTGAACTACATCGGTACTCTTAGCAGTACCACCCAAATCTGAAACAAAATAATTCTTAATATACTATATGCAGCAAATTTTTTAATATCATTGTTACTATTTTGAATTTGAATTGTATAATAATCATTTTTAGCTTTATTTATTATTTTATTTAGTTGGTTACGGTATATCCTATATTTTCTTAGAAGATTGTTGTTTTTGGTTTTTAATATTTGCTTCTTCATTTTATCCCTATGTTTAATAGACATGATGATGCCTTGACTTATCCATGGTTTTATTTTTTATAAGTATTATGCCTATTAGTTATATTACATTGTTCTTTTAGGGAATATATTATTTCAATAAATTTCTGGTAGGCCAAAATTGGATTGCTAAGAGAAATGACGTTGTCCCAGTTTACACTTTCTAATAATTTTGTAAATCTATCTATATCGGTGTATTGTGTTGTATGTTGGTTTAATGTATTATGATTAAAGTTTTTTTCGTTTGTTGTAATATTTAAAAAAATTGGAAAATGATCAGTTAGATCAGTGTCAATTACCAACGATTTAAGTGAAACATTTTTATTTGGCATATTATTTTTTATAAAAATATCAATACATGATTTCGTTTCTACAGTAACCCTGGTGTATGAATTAATATATGATACAAATCCCAAGGAAGATAACATTGCCAAATGTCTATTTGTTATTTGGTTTGAGGGATCAAGGATATTAATATTAATGTCACCAATAAATATATCCATTCCTAGCCTTCTTAATATATTATTTAAGAAATTTTCAAAATCTGTAAGAAATGTATCATCTGATATGGATGGAGATTTATAACAAGGCATTACTGTATAGGGCACACCATTATGACTAAATGTTATTGAACTATCATAACATTTGATAGAGGCAACTTTGTATGTTCTATTTCAAACTGAATGTTGTTTTTAATATATATAACTACATCATCACATTGATTATTCACACTTTCATTAAATATATTGATAAAACCAGGTATAATTAAATTATCAAGTTCAATAACATTATGTGTTTCTCCTAATATTATTATAATCCAAGTATTTTAAACCAAAAGTTTCTAAAAATACTAAAAAGTTGTCAAATTTTTTTTATACTTCTAATATTCAAATGCAAAATTTTTATTAAGGTTGTTAAATGATTATTGCAACTGATAATATTTAAAAAAATTGTCTAAGTCATAACAAGAATTTTTATTTAATTCAATATCATTTTCTTCATTTTCAATATCATTAAAAATATTTAGTTCTGCTATATTCATAAAAGAGAGAAAGTTTATTTAAATTGTGGTAAATTAGTAAAAACTATTCCCTTTTTAATTTTCAGTGTTCTATCAGAAAGTTGAATCAGATTGTAATGTTTTACAGTACAATATAAAGGTATTAAAGTATTATTATAATTTTATAAACAGATTATAAAACGATTAGCTCTCAGCCAGTTTACAAAAAAAAAAAAAAATATGAAAAAAATTCCAGCAATCTAATTGTATTTTATTGAATGTCCTATGCCCTTAAATTGCAAAACTCATGACAAGGGAGTTGGTGGAGGGCCAATACCTCTATGTTAGTTGTTAAAGTACTAATTCTATCTCTAGGTATCTGCACTTTCTGGATAGAATCTAACTTAACATAAATTCCTTCAGAAATCCATAGGATACCCAACCCTTAAAGCATTAAATTTCCCCATCTAAGATGTGATAGTATAAAGTACATAATAAAGCTAAAGTAAATGATTTATATTAAATGAGAGTTTCAACTATAGTGACAATGTTTAGCTTTGTAAATAAAATTAATATCAGAGTCCCAACTCGTATTACTATGAAGCATAACTCCTAAAAATTTGGTTTCTTATGACAAATGGATTTGTACAGAATTCATGATAATATGGAGCTTTTATTTCTAAAATAAGACATCTTGATGTTTAACCTGAGTTGTCACAAAGTAAAAAAAAAAGAAATTGAAAAGTAAACTAAATTGATCATATTATATATTTAAACATACCAGGTGTATGGATTTTGTCTTCAGAAATAGTTTTGAATATGGCTCTTTGGATCAAGTTGGCATGTTGCTGATGCCCTAAATGTTGCAGCATATCACAACCAGCACTTAACATAGCTATTGGGTTTGCTATGTTCTTTCCAGCAATAGCTTTGCCTGTGTTTCTTGTAGCTGGCTCAAAAATGGCATACTGAAAACATACAAATGAGATAGGTTTAAATAAAAATTAAAAATCCTTTGAATATTTAAAGTAAAGAGTATCCAAACGATAGTATTATTACATGGCTTCCATAATTTTTTCCAGATAATAAACCAGCTCCTCCAATTAAACCACATACAACATTTGAAACAATACTTCCATACAGATTTGTCATAATCATTACATCAAACTGATGGGGTCTGGATACAAGTTGCATACAGCAATTGTCAATGATCATATCATTATGTTCTATTTCAGGATATTCTTTGGCAATTTTTTTTGATGTTTCCAAAAACAAACCATCTGAAAGCTTCCTAAAAATAATGTTTATTTTATGCCAAAGCAGTAATGGCAAAACAAGAAATAGAACTTACATGATGTTAGCTTTATGAATAGTAGTTATCTTCTTTCTTCCATTAGTTTTGGCCCACTCAAAAGCAAAACGTGCAACTCTTTCTGAATTTGATTCAGTTACAATTTTCATGCTTTCAACTACACCTTCTACACTCTAAAAATAAAGGAAGATATTAAAAATATGAGTTATTAGTGGGGTAGTTTTTATAAATATTAAATAATTACCTCATGCTCTAACATAGCATATTCTCCTTCTGTGTTCTGTCTAATAATAACAATATCAATATCTTTCTGTCTAGCAACAACTCCAGGGTATGATTTAACATGTAGAATATTAACAAATAGATCTAATTCATTTCTAATGGCCACATTTCTAGATAACACATCAGAACTCTTACTTTTTGTTTCAATGTTACCCTTAATAGCTACACCATTTCGTTTTATAGAAGTTATAGCATATTCTAAATCTATATTATCTTCTGCTTTAGCATCTATGTCAATCACTTCAAAATCTACTGGGGCACCTGCATATTTGAATACTTCTCGTACATATGTCATTAATTCTGGGCCAATACCACCACCTGGTAACATAGATACTGCATTTCTACCTCCATATAAGGCAATTGGAATAGATGTCTAAAAAATTAGGAAAGATGTTGTCTATGGTTGTTTTTGTAATATGTAGTACATAACTTCTTGACAGATAGACTGGGCACACATTTTATTATAATGATATATATCCAATTAATGTCCAATGAGATAAAATATATTTTAGTATTAATTTTTTACTTTATTTTAATCAAAATTCACTTGTTTTATTTGAAACTATGATCTCAGAACGGTAAGAACATGTCCATATTTGAAGGAAAATATCTCAAGAACATTTTATTTCACAATAAAGTAGAAGAGTATTTATACTCTAAAACTTGGTGTAAATAAACTAAAACAAACATAAAGGTATCTGATTTTCAATCGATTTATAAAGGCTTTAAATCAATATTCATTGAATATCACATGTCAAATTTAGCAATTTTTCTAGGCGTATCTAGTATAAAACCAAATTTTGCTAATTTTTCGGTATCATAAATTGAAACATTTTATTGATACCACAAACCTTTCAATGGGGAAACAAAATATAATAATGGAATAATATAAGGCATAACATCTGCAAAAAGTAATGTACTTTCCACTTGTAATAATAATAATTATAAAATTTCTGTATTTACTATTTTTTTAGTAAGTGGTGTTTTATGTTGGAGTTCATATGCTGACACGGTAGACTGGGCCTAAAAAAAAAAATAGTATACCAATAACCAAATACATGATTATATAATTCTTACCCTAAATAAGTTTTGCCCCATACGGAGGGCAGATTTTTTCATTACTCTTGATGCCATTGTTCGACTAGCTTTAAAATACGGATGCGAAATTAAATTAACTTATTAACTCTATAAGCTCACATGAGCCCTATAAAATTTGGCATTTGGCACCATTCCATTTAAACTTCAAAATATAGGTTATGTCATGACAAACACAAGGGTGTGTTCACAACTTTGAATTTCAAAGGTTCACAAAGCACAGGTGTGTTCTTTTATTCTATTCCAATGAACTGTCAAAATTATTACTGTGGTCAATGATATTGTATTCATATAGATTGCTCAAAACTATTTATCATTGACCCTGTCAAAGCTAAAAAGTCCACAGGGTTGCCATATCAATACACATAGGCGCATTTTGACAGGTCGTTGTTTTTTCGACCAATCATAACATACCACGAAATTGTTCTGACTTCTCTTATGTGGAAAAGTGCGGAAAAATTTGTTTCGTGCAAACTGTAGATTGGATTGTGGATGTGGATGTTTTAAAGATTTGAGTAGGTGGATTCTAGAGGCCGGTTAACGTATTAAATTATTTCAATAAGAACAAGACTGCATGTAACAAAGTAAAACCATAGTTAAAATGATTCAATTAATAGGTAGGTACTATTTATTTTTAAACAAAACATATACTTACAGGTTATCTTGTTTCTTTTCAGTATTATTTTTTTCTCTACAAAGTTGTCTAGCACTTTATCCAAGTAGTGGAAATGTGGTTGAACTAACATCTAGTAATTTTGATAGACTGGTAGTTAAAGGAGACGAAGTGTGGGTGGTCGAATTTTTTGCCCCTTGGTGTGGGCATTGCCAGAGTTTAGTGCCGGAATATACTAAAGCAGCTAATGCTCTCAAAGTAAGTTACTTACCCTCACATAAAACCCAACAATGTAATCATTTTAACAGTTGAAATCAGAAAGTAAAGTCAATCTTGTTCTGCCAATAAAATATAGTAATGTTCTAGGGGAAATATCTATTTTGACCTATTTTCGATTATGAAAAACTAAGTATGGGTATTGTATACAAAAAAATTTAAGTCCCACAGCTTGTGCAAATTAGTAATAACATATTGCCTTGTGGAACAGGCAGATAGAATGACTTTACCCGGGCATTTACTAATAGGGTGGTAGAAACCAAACAAATTACTACTTCCCAATAAATGGGGCACCTACAGACACCTTACATAAAATAGCTTAAATACATTATAAAAGGTAGTTACAATAACTGTAACATTGAATATATGAAATAAAATATACTAAAGACATTAAAAACATATTTTCTGTATGTCATTCTAAAATTGACTAATTGAGCACCCAGTGATATCTAAATTGTATTGATTAGCCAGTCTCATTAGTCAAGGTAGATGCGAATGATAAGCATAATTAGTGAAGTAAAGTTGAATTGCAAATAGACTATTATTCCTTGTAGTTCTTGTGGGAACTCTAAATTGAATCATGGATAATAAATAATTCCTCAGATGTAACAATTGCATCTATGATCTTATAGAGGAATGACAGATCCATGAAGGTTCTTCGATTTACAAGGGTTGGGAGGTTTATTAAGTTCAAAATTGTGGAATAATTATATGTAAGAGCTAGAGTTTCTTATCAGCATACCTAACATTTTCATTGCCCTATTAAACAATTTGATTAATATGATTAGTAAAGGAAATATCTGAGCAAAATACCATTCCATGCTCTTTAATTTCAATAATTAAAATTTTGTTACCCAGACAGAAATTATGTGTTATTTGATTATGATTTTTTTTTAAAAGTAATGCAGTATCATTTATCACTGTTTAGGGATAGACTTTTAGAGGAAGACCATTCACATAAGGCATGGAAATATTTTTCAAGTTTATTATAACTATCACCACTGTTAAAATTGAAGTAAATCTTTAAATTGTCAGCAAACAGCAGATATATATTCAAAAACAGATCCACCATCATTAATGGATAAATTAAAAAGTAAAGGAGTTAAAGTGGGCACCTTGCTGTACACCAGAAGAAACTTCTGTGGAATCAGACACCTACAAGTCTTTGACCTGAGAGGCTGGTTATTCCTAGACACCTCTCAGTGTCAACCAGCAGGTTGAGGGTGACCATAATTTTGTACCACTGAAATAAATAAACACAACTAACAAAAAATAAAGTTGGCTCAGGCCATAGATATAAAACCAAGGCTCATACTAGCCATTCACCCAAAGGTCCAAGTTTAAAAAGTATGAGTGTAATAAATTACTTAAGATACAAGTTTTTTTTCTTATTTACAATACTTCACTAAGGGTTCTTAGTAATAAGTTCTTCTACTATTTTTATTTATTAATTAATTCACTTCTCTTTTTAACTGAAGTGTATGAATTCCTTTTAAATTCAATTCATCCTATTATTATATTACTTATTTACCATTAAAGGGCATTATCAGAGTGGGAGCTGTTAACGTTGATGAACATAAAGATTTGGGAGGTAGGTTTAGTGTAAGAGGATTCCCTACAATTAAAATTTTTGGAGCTGATAAAAACAAACCTGAAGATTTCAATGGAGGAAGAACAGCAAAGGATATTGTGGAAGCTGCTTTAAAATCTGCTAAAGCTATAGTTAAGGGCAAACTTGGTCTTGGTGGTGATGGATCTAAATCTGGAGATGTAAGTAGCATATTTGATAATTTGTTTTAATTTTATCTAAAAAAAAGTTTGTTGTGAAATATGTGAAAAGTTGTGAGTTTAAAGGATTGTTCTTTTAAGAACTCTGGCCTATCCTTATCCTGGTAAAATTTTCCACCATTCCTGAGATTTTTTAAGCATCACTGCTTTGTGCATGTTCTGATAGCTGTTTTTGTGACACAACAGAAGGGTTCTGGGCCAATATGAGCCTTTGGGACTTTTTCTGTGGTCTGGTATCAAGGCTAAGATTAGTCTGAAAAGCCACATAAAGACACAAAGCTCTCTAAGATGCAAAGAAGTCTGTAAAGAGTGGATTCACAAAAAGAAATTGTAATGTTTTGATTGCAACTCATCGTCTTCAGAAAGTGACTTCAGTCAGGATGATGAGAGTGAAGAAGTATCTGAAGATACACCACCAATACAGAGAAAGTTGAACAGGAAAACTATTGAAAAGAAAAATGAAGATAATTACTAGCTCCAATCCCAATAAAGATATTAATTATGCAGTTTCTTAAGCACATATTCTCTTAAGTTGGAGCAATCTGTACAATTTAATTCAGAAGTTATCGATAGCTTTCAGAAAAAAATAGAAAGGTAATACAGCCTTGAGAAAAGAGCATAAGTTCTAAAAAATAGAGTTGAAGAACTTGAAAGTAAGAGATAAATTGAACCATTTAGTTGAACAATTATACTCTTACATATCTTACTAGAAATACTTAGCCTTCTTATTATACCTAAACATAAAACAACCCTCTACAAGAGATCTTTCTTTTACAACACATTATTTTTATTAAAATGTTTACTCTTCTAGTTAACCTTAAACTTCACTACAAAATTAATAATATATGACACTGAAAAAAATTAAAAAGATTGTATAAAAATGGGCTTTAATGGTTTTTAGTCTGATGGTAAAGATGTAGTCGAATTGACTGACAGCAACTTTGATAAACTAGTTGTTCAGTCAGACGAGTTATGGTTGGTAGAATTCTTTGCACCTTGGTGTGGACATTGCAAGAATCTTGCACCTCACTGGTCCAAAGCTGCTTCAGAACTGAAAGGCAAAGTCAAACTTGGTGCTCTAGATGCTACCATACATCAAGCCAAAGCATCCCAGTATGGAGTACAAGGTAAATATTTGTTTGTCATGTGAATGAAGAATTTTTTATGGACTAATTGATAAATCTATAATTTAACTTTAAAGGTTACCCTACCATCAAATTCTTTGCACCTGGCTCCAAAGATTCTGCAGTAGACTATGATGGTGGTCGTACAGCTAATGATATTGTTGCTTGGGCATTAGAAAAATTGGCTGAAAATATTCCTGCTCCAGAAGTTATTCAACTCCTAGATGAAAAGTCATTTAAAAAGGCATGTGAGGACAAACCTCTATGTATCGTATCAATTTTGCCTCATATCTTGGATTGTCAGTCTGATTGTAGAAATAGTTACATTCAGATTCTTACCACCATCGGCGAGAAATTCAAGAAGAAGATGTGGGGGTGAGTGAAACATTTCGTTTTATTTGTTGAAATATTTATTTAACATGGTTGTTTTTGTAGATGGGTATGGGCTGAAGCTGGAACTCAACCTGAGCTGGAAAGTGCATTGGATCTTGGTGGATTTGGATATCCTGCTATGGCTGTTATTAGCCCTAAAAAAATGAAGTATTCCATACTTAGAGGATCATTTTCCAAAGATGGTATCTATGAATTCTTAAGGTAAGTTATTGATTTTGATTAAATTGATATTACCCTTAAGATAATTATTGTATAATTCCTAAATTATCTGGCAAATAACTAAATAAAACATAAAATAATGCTAACATATGGTCCTGAACACTGAAATATGAATAAATGCTTCTTTCTTTCCAAGTATTGTTATTATTTTAGGGATTTGTCATACGGCAAAGGCAATACTTCTCCAGTAAAAGGTGAAGCTCTTCCAAAAATCTATAAAGCTGAACCATGGGATGGAAAAGATGGTGTGCTTCCAGAAGAAGAAGATATTGACCTCTCTGATGTAGAATTAGATGAAAAAGATGAATTGTAAAAATGTGTTAGTTATTTAGTTTTTCTGTACATTTTTTTGGGGTTTCTTACTAAAAGACACACTGACTGGATATTTCTCTACATGGAACAATAAAAGAAAATTCCAAGGAAGTGAAATTAGAATTTAATCTAATATCTGTCGTAAACCTTTAAAGTTTAGATGTTATTTTAAACAATTTAGATGTTTCTAGTCATACAGCTCAATATTACATCATTTGTATCAGTTTGGGTGTTGATATCTGTTCTCTTTGGTAAACATTTTGACAAAAACTTCGTTTTGAATTACTTTATTAGTTCCTGGAAAATAATTGTCGTCTTTTAGTATTTTTCGTTTCAGTTTTTATAATTTCTTTGTGATGTGATCAGATTTATGAGTTGTAACATAACTTAATAAAGATATTTTTTACAATTACTCTTTTCCACAACTGTTAAGAATATTTTGATAAATACAAAATTAAGATTATATAAAATTGTGACCTATGGCATGGAAGTCTGGATTCTAAACAAGAAATAGAATAAGTTAGAGAAATTGAAAGGAATAAATATAAAAGTAATGGAGAAGAACAAACGAAGTTAGAAAACTATATGAAAGTTCATTCCTTATTTGTAAGAACAGAATGCAATGACTAGGCCACATGTATAGGATAGCTGAACGAGTAGAGAAGAGTGATAAATATATTTATAAATCGATTACCTAAGAAAAAAGCTCATATAGTACATATTTAGAAATACTTTTATTACAGGTAAGTCACTTGTCAATTACCCAAAAATAAAGCTCATACTTGAGATATACAGTACATTAAATTTCCAATCCTGCCTCCACGAGATCGGTATAGAAATACATTGCCATTGAATAGAGAGAAATAGATTGCTGGGTGCTGACTGCAATATCCCATCCTTGCCATCAAAAGGGCGTGGTTATACCTTTCATGTCCAAATATAATTAAGCATCTCATCTCTATTGGAAGTTTCTAATGGTTTGATCCATTTTGGATTTTGAATAAATGCTGGGTTTAAAAATAAAAAAAGGACTGAGAATAATTTAAAAATTAAAAATTTATTACTATATTTTCATATAAACTACATAAAATACTGCAATAAATAAAGTATATTTTAATTTGTACATTGAATAAATAAATAACCTACTTAAATTAATTAGTCTTTGTTTTTGTAATTGTGACTTTTTGTTCTACAGGAGTTTTAATTGGAACATACACGTCTTCAGCTAGTTGAGGTATTTTAGGAACAAGTTTTATTTCCGATTTAAGTTGTGGTTCAGTTTGCTGGAGTGAATTATTTTCTAAAATAACCTCAGCAACATGCAAGGGATTTAATTCATTCTCTGGTTGAGGCCTAACTAGCATGGGATTTATCACTTTCTTTTTAATATCAGTTTGTACAGCTTCCGAGCTACTTGCTACAGATTTAACAGCTTCAGATACAGCATCAGCTGCGATAGCAGCAATAGAATTGACAAATTTTGGGCTAGTAGGTTCATGATTCATAGAATCCGCGTTAACAGCTTCAGATACAGCATCAGCTGCGACAGCAGCAATAGAATTGACAAATTTTGGGCTAGTAGGTTCATGATTCATAGAATCCGCGTTAACAGCTTCAGATACAGCATCAGCTGCGACAGCAGCAATAGAATTGACAAATTTTGATCTAGTAGGTTCATGATTCATAGAATTCGCGTTAACGGCTTTAGGTAAAATTTCTTGGATACCAGCAGATTCAGAATTAACAGCGTCTGGGATTTTTTCTGATTTGACAGCTTCAGAAGGTTCATAAACTTGTTGTGCGTCACCTGTGGCTCCTAGTAAAGGTAATATTCGTTGTGGTTGACCGGTAGCTTGAGGTATGGTAGATTGGCCTGTTATTCCGTTGGCTGCGTTTATTTCTGATGCAGCTAATGCACATCCTTCTTGATCTGTTCTTACGAAGAAAGTCCTGCTTATCTTGAACTTGTCTAGGACTCCATAGACTTTTTGGAGGACGGGGCCTGATGGAAGGCGTTCTCTGGTCATAACCCAAGCGCTTTCTGAAAAACGAAGTCAGTACATATTTTTATGAATAGAATACTCATATTTTGTTATTTGTAAATGATTGTTATATATATTACATCGCTTAACCCCATTGGTGAACAGCGATATGAAGAGTGGATTAAAATGATACGGAGGATACAGAATAGATAGATTTTTGAATTTAATTTTAATGGAAATAAACAGCTCTCTTTTGTATTATCATTTTATTGAAATATTAGCTTTTCCACAATGAGAAGACTCATAAGAAAGCTGCAATACTTGATATTTTCTATTTGTTATAAAATTCAAATACTTTATCCATTTTAACTCTACCAGACTATTTGAACTTTTATATTGATTTTTGGAGCAGTCGATTCGTAACACATATAGTTAAGAATAACAAAGAAATATAAAGGGAGACGTTGAACTTTATTAGGAGTAGTTATCGACACATATAGCCTTTAGTGACTTTAGCAGGAGAACTAGGAACCAAATGAAGTAAGCAATTATATTCAAATGTTTGTCTTTAAGTCCATACAATGTAATTTTGAAAAATTGTAACTCACGGGCAGAAAGAGGCCCAAACCCACTGCAACTCCAGATGACTGCATAGTTGTCGTAATCGGTATCCAGTACAGTGAGAATTGCTTGAGAGCTTAAGGGTGTTGTTGAATATTTGACGTTGAGTTTGCCTTCTCCCACTCTTCCAGACAGTTCCAAATGACCGTCTATTACCCTTTTAACGCCAGTTCTGCAAAATTTAAACAAAATGTTAGTATCATTTTCATATTAGAATTGTGAAAAAAAGTGAAAAGAGATACAGAGTCTTCAACAATACTCGGTATCACACAATAACCTAGATTTTATGTTTATATTGTAAAAAAAAATCAAATGAAAATATAATTTTATTTCCTGAGGTGTAATAAAACGAGTCCTTAACAGAACCCGAATCCCACATAATCTGGTAAAACAATAAATTTAATGAAAATTGCCGTTCTTAGTCACTTTTAAGACAACTTAAGTATCAGTTCTGTCAAATAGGTCGGTGACAATTATTTTAAGGTTACTACTGAAATTATTGTTAGTTTTAGCTAATAGACATCAATTTAGTAACGTGGAATACACATATTGTTGAAGACTTCCTAAATTACTACAAGGTAGACAATTTTTTAGTTTTTCAAATTGTTGGTACCTATTAAAATAAATATAATAATAAAATTTTGATATACATATTTGTCACAAAAATAATTTGAATAAAATATTTTGAATTCGGTTCTGTTAGGCGAGATAATCGCAATATTTTTTTGTATAATTTTTTCTTCCCCAATTATGGCCGAGAAGTAGGTACTATACCTTCATCTACGACGTTTTTATTAGACTTATTTATTTTAATTATGCTATTTTTCTATTTAAGATTCGAAACTTTGATTTGAGTGTGTTTATTATATTGCCTGTATATTTATATTGTTTTTGCGTTAATATGACATTTCCTGTGCAGTTTTTTGTGGACTAAGAGTGGTAAGTACCTATCTAGAATTTTTGTTTTATTAAAATATAATTTAAATTATATAAAAAAATATTGTAGATTGAATGCCTTAAAAAAAATCCGACAAAATCAAGCGTTAGGTCATTTTAAACATATACAGAGCCCTCCTGAAAATTTTTAAGGCTATTACCGGTAAAATTTTAGTTGGAATCTTGAATTTTTAGGGTGTGAGGCAGTGCATCGAATCAAGAAATTTCATATACTTTTCATAAATAGGTACTTTGATTTTTCGTAGCGAAATAAATATTTTATCTGAATTTTCTTGAAACCATGAACTCAAAATGCTTCAAGTAGCAAATAAATATACGGATGTCACTGGTATCCTAAAAAATATATTCGTCAGGGCTCCTAAAAGTACTATTACTTTATTGTATTGATTATTTTGTTTAATTCACACTATTTACAGAAAAAACTCGGCGTACATTAAAAAAAAAAACAATTTTTTTATAATTCTTTTCATACGAGTTTTAGAAATAAAAACTAATCTTTCTTTAAATTAGTATTTTGTGATTTAATGAGTAAATTCACTAAGAAAAAGCGTAAATAATCGCATTTTACTTTTGAGTGTATTTTTGATTTCCCTCGTATAAAGCATTTATTGTAAATTTGATTTTGACAAAGTACCAAGTTTTATTAAAAATCAATTTTTATAAGAAATTATTAAAAATGAATCTCCCTGTATATATAATTTATATTTTTTGTGTAAATCGTAAATATGCATAATTATAGTTTCTTTTAAATTCTAGACATTTTTGTGATATGGCAACACGGCATTGGAACTTTCGCTACATTTGCTCCATTCGACAATCTATTACTTTTTTATATCAAATTATAAATTAATTTCTTTATATTTTATTTTGTTTGGCATTCCATAAGCCCAAGATTTTGATGGTTTTGTTTGATCATCTAAATTTAAGCTAATCGTGTTTTGACACACCCTGTATACATCATAGCAAATGAATAAAAATTCTTAACATTTTTAGGAATGTCTATTAAAATTGTTTTACTATAGAAAAATAATCAAATCTGTTGTGCATAACTATCCGCAATCTACAGGGTGTTTGATTTAAAATAGTATAATTTTCATTTATGGACTACTCCGTATATTTGGGAAGGTACAACCGCACACTAATGGAACACACGGTATCGTTGAATAAGTAAATTCATAATAACAAGTTTATTGCTAAAATAATATAAAATGTTGCATTTAAAAAATTTAGTAACTTGAACTTAAAATGAGCTATATTTTTGACAGGTTTCAAACCACTGTTCGGTAGTTGGTACATTAATAAGTCTAATTTAAACAATTATTGTTAACCAACTTAAATTATATTTTTATTTAAGCTCTGCATCATTCTCTAATTTTACAAAAAAATTTAATACCACCCTGTAATATTTTTCAAAAATATTTTATGTTCAATTTAAAAAATATCAATTTTTATTTGCCAAGCAAAACTGTAATACTCTGTGTATCCAAACATGTTTTTAAAATATGCCTTTTTCATATCTACCTAATTTTTATTTAAAACTTGTTTCGATGAATATAACACAAATCAAAAAATCTAACTGGTATTTTTATAAAAAAATTGGAAATTATTTTTTTAAAAGAATTAATTAAAAAAAGAACTTAATGTTTTTTTAGTCAGCTATGTAAAATGTTTACTACTATATTTAATCCTTGAAAATATATTTATTTTTTATAATTATTTTCAGATTTTATAGAGTTCGAATTAAAAAATGAATTGTAATAATAATAAACAATTAAAATATTTTATTAAATTACTTACAATCTACTTGTAACTTCATTAGAAACATAAATTTTTCCGCTGGGACCCTTCGCATAATCGGTAACGACACATCTCGAAGCGATGTCTGAAAATTGAAAGTATCTTTCGGATTCATACCACTTCCCCAAAAAGCTGTCAATGTCAAAATCCGTCATGGGGAGGTAGTCAGGGCAAAACCCAAGACTCGGTATTTGCGCACTTACCAGCACCACAAAGCTGAAGAACAGATACGCGCGGAACATTCTTGCTTTTTGAACTTCTGAATGCTTCTTCCTGGATATTTATAAGTAGATACTCAAAGGCGCCAGCTAGGGGGGCATGGGCAGCAGTTATTTTTTTATACGGATATAGTTTTTAATATTATTATGTGTTAAAAAAATATGATTTTAGTTTTATTATTGCAAAATATCTCCCATCTAATTAAATTCCAATGCGTAAAAATAAATTATTTGGATGGATATAATAATAATACTTTATTGCTTCCAAAAGATTTAAGTTTGGGTTTTACAAAGTATATAAATTTATAAACCTATGTAATAGTAGAGCTATATAAAAATAAAAACAAAACATAATATATAATTATAACAAAATAACTAAATCATCACACTCATTACAAACTTTCTAGAACGTATACAGATGGACAACAATGATTTATTCAGGATACAAAAATCAAATAACATCAAAAAGAATCTATTCATTTAAATAAATGCCCTAAGTTTTAGTATATTCCATATATAACTCGCTATTATTTTGGCATTGTCAGTTATCAACTTGTCCAGAGCAGAAATTAACGAATCTATGTCCCGTAAAAAAGGAAATTGTGGTTTCATAACTGTATATATATTGGGCAATCAAAAAGCAAGTGGTTAAGAGTTTCATATTCATTCATGTTACATACAGTATACAGTCCATAATTCATCAGGACTAATAGAATAGTAGATATATGTATTATAAGCAGCGATACTTGTCATCCTCGACAAATTAATAGGACAATTAACATTTAAGGAACATGGAAACCTCATTCCACATTTGAATTAGGTACTGGTACACTATCAAAAATAATGGTACCCATTTTCCACTTCTGATAGTTCTCTCAATGTATATTTTAAGAACCCGAAGATACCTGATTTTGAAAAGTAAGCAATCCAAACTGTTTGCTACATTCTTGTGAGTTACTGTTATATAACGTGCATTAAGTTTAGTAGATAGATAGAGCCACCATGGGGCCACATAGGGAATTCAATGTGTAAGAGTGAGAGGTACAGATTCAATGGGTATAAGTGAGACATAGTGGTCCGATTCAAACGGGGAAAACGGCATTATGTAGATGACTCGGTATAGCCGTAAGTATAATGAAATTAGCCTTTAAGATGGCCATATTTGCGTTGATTGGATTCTTCTATGCGATCTAGAATGATATCTCTTAAAGACTTTATCCCAAAGACTTAAATTTGTTAAATCTCTTAAAACTTGTTTTTTATCTTCACATAATTTTGTCTCTATTTAATTTTCTTTTACACCAAACTCTTCAATTATACGTCTATTCTCTTCGCTAGACAACTCAATACTGACTATTCGGAGGATGGACTTACGTTAGACCGCTCGACCAACCTGGCTGTAGTAGTAGTAGTTAGTTTAGTTGAATTACGAAACATCAAACGAAAACGTTATGCGAAACGTCAAACGAAAGTGTCAAACAAAAACATCAAACGAAAACGTCAAACAAGAACGTTAAACGAAATGTCGACTTTTATCTTCAACGTTAATCTATACCACGTTCTCTACATAATGTCGTTTTTCCCATTTGAATCGGATCAGTAATATCCGAGAAACACGCTAAGGCCCTTCTGGTTTTCTTTCTGCGCACGATTTTTTGTTCGACGTTAATCTATACCGCATTCTCTACATAATGCCGTTTTTTCTGTTTGAATCGGACCAGTAATATCCGAGAAACACGCTAAGGCCCTTCTGCCTTTTCGTTCTGCGCATGATTTTTCTGTTCGACGTTAATCTATACCGCGTTCTCTACATAATGCCGTTTTTCCCGTTTGAATCGGACCAACAATAACAAAGATACACGCTTAGGCCCTTCTGGCAATCGCATGATTTTTCAATTCAACGTTAAAAGAGATTTAATTCCCCCCACTCTCCCGCTTCCCATCACTATGTCTCACTCTTACCCATTGAATCTGTACCTCTCACTCTTACACATTGAATTTCCTTTGTGGCCCCATGGTGGCTTTGTCTATCTACTAAGTTTATACGTATATTGTCAATGTTATACACATTTAAATCCTACAACGAACCATGCAAATTAACGATTCAAAAAACAGCCCCATTTCGACGCTTCCGATTATTTAAAATATTTTATTTTCCTATTTCCTACCTAACAGGTTATGAACCCATGCTGAGTTTATGCCACATAATGAGTTTAATAATTAATCTAAATCCTAATAAGTGCCATAGCTTAGTCTCCTTCCCTGTTTTACAGATGCACTCCTGTTTTTTGTCCTGACTCTTTTTTTTGATTTATAAATCCTCTCTGTGACTTGTAAGTTTCACTTCCAGGAGAGCTATTTTCAAAGTATGGGAACACCCCATTTCTCTCAAATATTCTCATCAGAAATGTCATATGTCAAAGTGACAACGCTGCTTTTAAAGGCCTCGAGAATTTTAATTATCTCCAAATATACCAAAAATACTGTTTTAAGTTGACGTATCACATTTTTCTTGAGAGAAATAAATTCTCTTGAGTTTGAAAATAATATTCAAAATAATATTTGTTGAAGATTTCAATTGTTGTGTAAATATTGTACCCTGTGATTAAAAATAAGTTTCCGCCTACTATGTGAATGATTCGTTAACGGCTATTTCGATTTTACCTTTCCCGACAAAATTAATAACAAAAAAGCAAATATTGACGTTGCCGATATATTTTGATTAAATTTGATTCAATAATAATTAGTATCAACGGTTCTTTGGTGTGTTTATATTTCTTCAAAAAGGCTAATAACCGAGATTGGCCTTACGAACTCCTAACAGTTCAGAAGAGATTACATAAATAATGTCACGCTTTTGGTCCAGTTTGGTGACTATAAAATGCGTATAAACGCAGAGACGTAACTAGCCATCTGACCTGGGGGGGAGTTAGGGTGGACCTGCGTGAATTGGATTATTTAAAAAAATAAAACAAATGTTGACTCTAAAAGGCATAAACACCAAATGATTTGATTAAATCGTTATAATATTTTAAAAATAATTAATAATAATAAAGTTTATTCATAATAAAATATGTACAATAGGTAAAATACATACAATCAATCCAATTAGATGAATAAACTTAAAAATGTCCACTAAAGTATTATAAATACTTCTTTGTGGTAAAAAAATATTATTATTAAAAGAACGTAGGTATTTAAATACATATATCAGAAACACATGATGAAATACATATTTTATAAAGTTATAATTTTATTTTTTAACTAGACTACGTAAAATATTAATAAGAATCATTGAAAGAATAGACTAAGAGAGAATTTTTATTTTCTATTTTCTTTTTGTTCAAGTCTATGTTATTTTATGAATATATGTTCTTTCACTTTATTTTATGAGTATAAGTTGCTTTTTAAAGCTCTTTAAGAAGTTTCCTCTTTTATTCTCTGTGGTAAAAGTGATTGAACAGTTTTGGACCTAAATATACATAGTTTCTTTGTCCTACAGATTTCGAAGTTATTGGTATACAGTGTGTTCTATACTGAGCTGAAGCTACGTGCCTAAGTAAGCATATTATTACTTGGACACTGCAGTAACTATAAAGTATATTAATATTTATGTTTTATTTTATTAATTTTGTTTAGATATTAGAAACAATATAAGAACTAGAACTAGAATGAAGCTATATAATGCTTGGCATTTTATATTATCCCATTTTCAATCAGATTTTTTTCAGAAACAATAGGTTTCATTCTCTTATAAAGCTTGATTTTCCTGAAAATTTCAATTTGATATCGTTTTTTATTTCTGAGTTAGAATTTTTTTTCAATATTTCAATCCCCCTTATCTCCCCATTTTTATTCATTTATTAATTCCCTTAGAGAGCTTAATTTTTACTAAAAATTTCATGTTGATATCGCTTTTCGTTTTTAATTTAGGATTTTTTTAATAATTTCAGCCCCCCCCTTAAAACTCCCATTTTTAAACATTTTTTTCCCTTATAAAACTAAACATTTCATGTTGATATCATGGTTAATATCACTTTTGGTTTTTGATTTTTATCTTTTTTTTATTTAAACCTCTTTTGTTCCCCATTTTATTCAGATTTTTTTTAAATCAGTAAGCTTTGTCCCATTATAGAGCTTGATTTTTGCCAAAAATTTCAAGTTGATATTATTGTTCGTTTTTGAGTTTTTTATATATTCAATCCCCCTTAAACCTCCCATTTTTAGCCATATTTTTTTAAAAATCAAAGAACTTTTTCCCATTATAGAGCTTGATTTTTGCCAAAAATTTCAAGTTGATATTATTGTTCGTTTTTGAGTTTTTTATATATTCAATCCCCCTTAAACCTCCCATTTTTAGCCATATTTTTTTAAAAATCAAAGAACTTTTTCCCATTATAGAGCTTGATTTTTGCTAAATATTTCAAGTTGATATCATTTTTCGTTTTTGAGTTAGATTTTTTTTAATATTTTAACCCCCCTTAACCCCCAATTTATTCACATTTTTTTTTTCAGAATCAATAGGCTTCATCTTTTTATAGAGCTTGATTTTTATTAAAAATATCATGTTGATATTGTCTTTTTTAATTTCAACCCCTTTAACCCCCCATTTTTAATCAGCTTTTTTAAAATCAATAAGCTGTGTCACCTTATAGGGCTTGCTTTTGCTAAAAATTCCAAGTTGATATTATTTTTGAGTGTCTGAGTGTTAAAAAGTTGATTTTTTTTAATATTTCAACCCCCCTTAACCACCTAATTTTTTTTTAAGAATCAATATAGGCTTCATCTCCTTCCTAGAAAGCACACATAGGTTCATTGGACGCCCATTCGATATACAATTTTGCTTGCCGGGATGTCCAAAAATTAGTTTTTTTGGACTTCCAACATCCAGTGAATATAACAAATGCCACACTTTTGACCATTCAGAGGACGTCCCTTTATGAATTATATTTAGACGTTGAATACTGGACATTTAAAAAACGACAATTCCTGGATTATATTCCATTGAGACCACATCCACACTTTTTATACACAATCCGAACTTACCACACACTATTTTATATTATTAATAATTTATTTATTATTTTCGCAACCCGCTATACACAATTTCTTTGTTTTGTTTGACCTGAGCGGGGATCGAACTCACGACACGTCCGTTCTACGCTTTCAACCGCTAGACGATCTCGACCAACGGATCACTTGACAATTTTTTACTAAATATGGTTATAATAGAATAAGATTTCAAACTTCTGCTGGTAGAATGAATTTAAATTATATTTAAAAAAAAAAGAAAATGTATATATTTAGATGGGTATTATCTAATAAGCTAAATGAACAATGATGTATTTATTTTATTTGGGTTCTTGAATGAATGATCTAGCAATATATTTCTCACTACTTGCAGCAAGATCATCGTCCACGTAGATTGCAAACAATAATTTCTTGTTATTTTGTTTACGTACAAATAAGCAGGGATTTACTGCACTTGCTTTTAAATTTGTTTGTTGGAGAACTTTTACAAAAGGTTGATTCCAACATCTCATGGCTTGTTTCAGTTCATTTTTAACTTACAGACTATTCGTTACATCTTCAAAACCTTGTAGTTGAACATGTAGATCTCTTCCTCAAATAAACCGTATAAAAAGACAGTTTGATATCAAACTGTAATAATTTCAAGTGTTCAGGGGCAGTAACACTAAAAAATGGTTACAAAACGGACAACAGGGTTAAAAGTTTCCTAATAATTAACGCCTGATTTTTGGCTAAAGCCTCTGGCTACCAACTGTCGGATACAAGGATCAGGTCCCAAGTCAAGTATTATTTTCAAGTAGAGCTTCTATTTCTTCATTCATCGCCTTTTTCCACTCTTCAACATCATCATCAGATTTCATAGCTTGATTTTAATTCTCTGGAACATTTTATCTAAATCATTCAGCTGACAAAATGTAATCATCCAAATGTAATCATCCAGATAAAGTGTTTTCATTCATTCTTCAAATTCATTTTCTCCTTCCATATCAGAGTTTGCTCTTTCTTCAAAGGTGTCTCTGTCAATAAAATCTTAAGAAATTTCTTTATCATACTCTGTAGGTGCTCCAGGCTCTTCTTTTTCAGTAGTATCCTTGGTTTAATTTCTAACTTAAATTTTTAAATGATTTTTTCCGAATAGCAAGCACGTTTCTACTTCTAATTACTTCCTTTTCATTTTGTATCTAAATTCTGTATCCCTATTTCGGCACAGTATCCAACAAAGAAGCCAGGTAAACACTTTTTGTCTAACTTACATTTCTTCTGTTTTGAAATATGAACATAAAGGCTGGTTCCAAATATTCTAAAATTACCAATAGACGGTACTTCTTTGTTTAGCCACGAAATTAATGGTGATTTTTGGTAAATTCTTAGGGTGTATCATACTTAGACCGTGAGCATTTCTAGTGTTCTATTTTCTCTTTCAGCTAGCCCCTTGTGTTGTGGACTATAGGATATGGTACGTTATTCTAAAATGTATCCCTTTATTTTGTAGAATGGCTCAAATTTCTGCATTATCGAACTCATTTCCACCCTCGCTTAAAAATTATTGTATCCTGACGCCTGTGCTATTTGAGATTTTTTTTTAAGAATATTCAGACACTTCGGCTTGGAATTTCGAGAAATAATTAACTTTTCTAGTGAAGTTTAGATAAATATCAGTTTAAAATTGACCGCAACCGTATTTTAGTTCAATAAGTGGTTGTTGATTTAATTACCTACATACAGTCTTTTGTTATCCAGTGCATAAAATATGTAAAGTTCCACTCTAGGCATACATATCTTTGACAGTATAAGAACAGTTATTCTGACCTAGTGAGTAATTGAACGACAAATAACCCAGCAGATCTTATTGCTTGATGTACTGCTGCACGTGAATAAGTTCAAAACGTGATGTTTGTTTTTGTAATATTTCTTTTTATAGTTATTCAAATAACTTCCGCCCAAGTGCCTTATTTCGGCCCATGTCCCAATATCAAAACCGTTACCAATTTTGACGTTAAAAGGGTCAGTATTTATTTTTATAATAATTTATTTAGTGTGATTGATTTTTTTGCTTGCATATATTTTGTCATAACATAACAATAAAACTATAATATATACATTATTATAAAACAGGAAAAAAGACTAGGATTTAGTACAATTATCAGTAATTTTCGTTTGGTAAAAGATACTAATAAATATTTGCACTGTTAATAAAATTAATTTATATTGACAGAAATGTATTTTACTAAATAATAATTAAATACAGGGGGCTCATTTAATCCTGGACAAATAGGTAGAATAATATATTAAATCAGCTTCATTTATTCCTTAATCTTATTGCCTTTTTATCCTTGCAGGTGTAATAATAATAATATTAATAATTCTTTAAGGTATTTATAATGTATAAGTTAAGATTTATGTATGTATATATATACAGAGTGGTTCATAAATTGTAGCTATTTTAATAAGTCTAGTTGGGTAGAGATAACCAGATTTAACGATTCAAAATATGAGATATAAAGAAAAAATAAAATTAATAACCTTCTACGTCTACGGAATTAAATTAGTTTTCTTTTGGTTTCCAAGTGCATATTTTAGAAGCACGACCTTTTTGAGTTCATAATTAATGACAATATCTAGAACATCATTAAATGTAGCAATTACTACATCTTTTCAGATGTCAAATTCGCTTGATGTTTTTTTGGTAGTCTAAAGAGACTTGAAAATAAAATGCAAAGCGGGAAAAATCATTAGTAAAATTATTTTTTTTCAAATGTCTCTTAAGCCAGCCGTGTTATTTAAAACTTATTGAAATCAGTGACACCACTAATCTAGTCCAAAATACTAAAATTTTAAAAATCCTTGTAGGCACCAATATTAAAAATCTAAATATAATCGGTTATTTCAGTATGCTGGAAAATGGTACGAAGCTGAAAGATATTTTGCAGTTTTTGAATTTGGAGGAAAATGCGTAACAGCTGATTACAACATTGACAATAATGGTGCTCTAAATATTATTAACCAGCAAATTAGTACCTTGTAAGTATTATTTTTTCTTCTTTGTAGTTCAAACTACCTATATAGATTTGGCTTAAATTTTTCTTGGGTATTGCGAATTAACAAGAGGAACAGCGACAGCTTCATAAAAGGTGAGCACGCGCTATATCCCACTTTGTGATGAATTGATTAGTGGGCAGAAATGCAATATTTGGATAAAACATGGATGCCAAGTTTGCGATGTAGGGTCGTAATTTGTTTCATTCATAAAATTCCTTCGAATACTAGTCCAGGAGCCAGTGAATTTTTCTCGTACTTGTTTTCTCGATTGGTGTATATTTAAATATTCTTTTCCCAGTGAACTGTATATTTAAAATGGAACGCCAGTCTCTATTAACAAAAATAAGCCAAATTGAATTCGCTCATTACGTCACATCGATACAGGCGAGATTGCGCACAAAGTGCCTTTTCAGGCCTATTTTGCCCATTTCATGTATTTGTTTTTAAATCAGGATAAATTAATATTGTGATATTATTTTCAAAACAACAGTTTATTTATTAATAATTTATTTAAACACTTATTTATTTATAACACTATTATTCTAATTTATATATATCTCGAATGTCTTTGAATTGCTCAATATTTATATTCACCACTGTCTATCTACTAATAACTATTTATCTTCACTGTCCAAATAATACTGATTCTGATGGCTCTCCTCCACCAATTTATATACAAATTGGTGGTCTAGAATGCTCTCCCACCAAAATTGCGAGTATGTACCAGAAACGTTATCACGTTCTAGAAATAGTATCTAGTTGACCCTGGAATGTTCGCGAAAGTGTCTCCGCCATAGTCGTCCCATAGGTTTGGTCTTAAGGGGTTTAATTATGTATAATAATGGGACAAGTTGAGCCTCAAAGGCCAAATAAGACAGAGAGGGACTTGTAGGGTTAGAGCATGACTGAATAATGAAATGGCTCACATAACAATATTTTTGAAACTCAACAACAAGAAAATTCAGTTAACTCTTCCGTTATATTTTTATAAAGGTATGTCCTTACCACTAAGTAATAAATTTCACATTTTTTACTATATACAGGAATGTCAAAAAATAGAAATTACGGCAATTACTTATTTTTAAAAATATGGAAACATTTTATATGGAATCAGAGTCATCTATCTCAAAAAACAAAATTGATATGCAATATTATTTCTTACTCTAAGAGTAACAAATGTAATAGATAAACCAATATATAAATTTAGTAAAATTTACCTTCAGATAGTCTGGAGGCTTTTTTTAAGAAGGATCTAATGGAGAGTGTTAAGCCTGATAGAAACAATAGATCTCTTTACACACACATATCAACTGGGGTAGTACATTTACATTTAAATAAAACGCGCTAGGATAAATTAACTGTAGTTTTATTAGTAAAGTATTGACACTAAATTTTTTAATAAAAACTACCCCATCTGACGCAACTTGTTTTCAGTGATTTAAGTTATCGATTCAGGTTTTATTTTTGTTTTAATAAATTAAAAGTTTTTTTTATCGTTAATAACAATTTAATAGATGAGAAATACGTTTTTTTACATTTTTAATGTCATTTACAGAAAATAGCTAGATATGTATTTGTTTTTAAATAATTTGACAATTTATGAAAAAGGGAGTAAAAGTGGAATGGCTAGTGGTCTGCAGGTCTATACAATGTATCATATATTTCTGTTATAACATAACTGAAACACTTACATCTTTTAATCATAAGGGCATAATTTAAAAACCATTTTAATATATGCTTTAGAATGAAGTAATATTAACTTATTAAAGAGACGAGGTCTTAAAGTACAGCATGTTTTTTAAACTGCTAGAATAAAGTCACTTTCTATGAAATGTGCTCTAAAAACGACATTTATGACTGTCAGCGTTTCAGTCTTAGGATCTCTTCCTAAAGCCCTCATCCAAGCTGCATACCTATTAAAAGTTAATTAAAAAAAACCATGATATATAACTATATATACACCCCACAAGAATTATCGCATCACTAATAGTTTTCAAAAATTTGGAGTTTTTTCTGAACTGTTTGATCGATTTGGATATTCTTTTTTTGGAAGATAAATTGATTCTTCAGGAATAGTAATCTCTTTGATTCTTTAAATAAAATTTAATTTTTGAGCGTATACCGGGTGTTACATTAATATAGGTTTTGGTTGGAAAATTCGTAACACCCTGTGGAGTGTAGCAATGAACTGAAGTGGGGTAGAATGCTTGTCTGTCAATAGGCTTGAGATGCGACTCTACGGGCGAAGACAGGTTATTTTTCATCTCACTCGGAGTATTTATAACAACCATTTTCTATTTCACTTTGTTATTGTCTGATCCACCAGCTTGTGAATTGAACAATAACAATGTGAAACAGAAAATGGTTATTATAAATACTCCCGAGTGAGATGAGAAATAAAAATGGCTGCGCCCATAGAGTCACATCTTGTTCTATTGACACAATATGCACATTGGCTTTCTACCCCACTCCAGTTTATTGGACAAGCCACGGCCTCTAACATCTAATACCTCAACACATGTTGTTTGATGGACATCTCACAAATATAATGTCGATGAGAGTTTTGCTGTGCAGAATTATAGGTCTTTTCCTTTGCATCGAAAGTGTAGCACTGAGCTACGTTATTTCTGAAAATATTGTTCCATCCATACAATTTGTATAAATGGAACGATATTTTCAGAAGTGGTGTAGCTCGGTCCTACACTTTCGATGCAAAGGAAAATACCTAATATGAGTTGGTTCATTAACAATTTGTGTTAGTCCATAGGAATTTGAAAAATTTATACATAAATCACAACCTCTATAGGCGTCATAAAATCTATATTAATATCCCCTGAGACAATGAAAAAGTCACAATTCTCTATCCGTTTTTGCTGGCAGGGAAAATAAATACCGAAAATCGTCACTGTCTCCTGGACTATACAGTTAGTAGATGATGGTGGGGCGCTGTCAGAACGATAATCGGTCCTCTCATTCCGATTTAGAGATGGCGTGATAACTTCACAACAAATACTAGCCATTGATAAGCTAGTTGGGAAAAACCAAGGTGTGAATTTGATTTTATTAAGTTTAATAATGTACAATACGCGTTGGGGTGTAGAGCTCGATTTTTTTGTGAAGAGCACACTTCGTCATATTGTGCAGAAATCAATTTGAGTTTGTAGGTGTGGTCAGACAGATTTAAACGTGATTGAAGCCACCTGCCGCTCATCACCGCTCATACAAGTTGAATTCAGTAGCTTAGTGTTACTTATTTGTATTTGTTGCATTTATTTAGCTATTATGAGTGTGGCATAGTTATGACGAAATGTGCTCTTCACAAAAAAATCGAGCTCTACACCTAAATGTAGCTGCAGTTACAAGAGTATTTTACGATAATTAATTTGAAATGAAATATATTATTTTTTCTTAATAAACTAAAATAAATATTATTATTAGGTACTCTATGGTAAAAGCATTAAAGCTTCCGAATTATACTATTTTTCTATGAGCCATTTATGCCGTCGTTTATATACAAAATTAGGTTTTATTACTATCTCCTGGTATAGCGAATAGAGATAATTAATAACGACAGTGACCTTAGTATCTTCAACTTTTTCGATGTGATAACTGTAAAAGGTACTTCTAATGAATGTTTTTAAATGTTGCAGTACTGGTATTCAGAGCTTGATTGAAGGAAATGCCAATCAATTATCAAGATCGGATGAGGCAAAATTAAGTATTAATTTCCCGTCATTACCAAGTAAGTCTGTTCATTAAAATCGATGAAAATACACTATTTACCTTTTAAAGTTATATTTTTAAATTTTCTCTTATACGAATATTTTTTTTTTTAGTAAATTTTGACGCGCCTTATTGGGTAGTTGGAACAGATTATGAAACATATTCAGTCGTATGGTCTTGTAGCAATTTTGGAATACTTAGTACACGTAAGTAAAAACATTGTGTTATAAAATCAATATTAACATAAATTTGAAAATCACAATTAAATAACTTTTTAATATTCAATTTTAGGCAATGCCTGGATTTTGACAAGAGAGAAACAACCATCATTAAAAATAATGGAGAAAGCATATAAAATATTGGATAAGCAAGGTATATCCAGGGCGTATTTTATACGGACCGATCATAAAAACTGCCCAAAAGAATACTAGATTATTAGTAGTATTTTTTCTTTGCTAATTTCTTATTTTAGGTGCTTAATTATTATTATTCAAATTGAACATTGATTTCAATTGTATATTTTCTGTAGTTTTTGTAAACAGCTGCTGAAAAAAATACACGAAGAAATTACCATAGATTTCTTAAAATCTATGTAAATTCCTATACTTGTACAGTTGTTCTAAAAGTTTTATTGAAATGAAAAATTACTGTAAATTTCAATAAACGGTGGCCATTTTAAAATGGACACCAAACATTTTAAATATCCCTACAAAAAAGTCAATAGATCTAAGATCAAAAGAAGGCACAAATCATCCAATCCATCCTCTTCTTCAATAATCGCTGCAGTAACAGGTCGTTTTTAGAATTAGAAGAATCGTTGAAGAAAGAGGGGTATAAAAGAGGAGAGGAGGGGATCAATAGATTTGCGATATTTACAAAATTAACTATAAAGAATATTACAGTGGTTTGCTTACGTAAAAAGAATAGAAAAGCAAAAGACAGTAAAGATAATAACCTGGAGGTTACAAGATGGTGAAAAGAGATATGTCGTAAAGGTGGAGAAAAATGTACAAGGTTAGAGGAATGAAGCCAACAACATAATTATATTCAATATTCAACTGTAATATCAAGAAATTTAACCTTTAAATTGAATTTTTAGTACATAAAAATAAAATTCAGATTTTTCATTTCACAAATTCTAAAAGTAATAGAGTTTTTAGAACTCCCTGTATAATTATTACTCTATGATCGTTATGCGTTTTTTATATTAGAACCTAATCTTTCCTTAGTACTAGTTCTATTTATTTAGTTATTTATTTAATTATTTATTTATATATTTATTTTATTTATTTATTTTTTATGTTATAATGGTTAAAAAACTGGAAAATTAAGTTAACTTTAAATGTGATTATATTATTTTTATAATTAGCTAATGAAAATTAAATAATTAATTGAAAATATTGTTTAAATAAGTAAAAAACGTTCTTGCCAGAAATATGTTTTATTTTCCTTAATATCTTAATTAATAAAGCAAAACATAAGTTGTATATGAACCAATCTTAATTTGACTACAATTTTTAAATATTTTATTAATACAAAAAAATAAAAAGTATAATCAAAAAAATAATTAAACAAAAAAAAAACATACAAATACTGCCACCTCTAAAGATATTTAAGTAAGTTTGAACGGACCGTGCGGAACAAATAAAAAACAGAATAAGTAATAATCTAAATTAAATAAATATAAAAAAAGTAACTGTTTGTTACAGGTTGAACTTAAATCAACCCCTTGTCAAATCAATCCCATGTCAGACCCACAGGTACGTCAAACCACCCCCCAACATTCATTTTTGTTAATAAACTCTTTTTTTTGGTTAAACGTTCAAAATTGTAAAAAAAGATTTAATGTAGGAATTATTTCATTAGATAACACCTCAAATGCAATTTGCATATTCCTAGGAAGTGATTTGACAATGTGTCCATTCCTAAATTTATTTAAAAAACGTGAATACAATATGTTGTATATGAAAAACGTGAATGATCAATCTATATAACTATCTATATCATTGACTTTGTCAAATCCAATCATATCAATGCCCGCAGGCAACCATTTTGTTTGGAATAGTTTATAGGTATTCCATATTGAAGTAGTAACTCGATGCATTCCAACGACCTGTCAAAATTGCTTCCTGTGGGTTTTGACAGGGTTAATAATATATTTATATAGATTTCTCAAAGCGAGTCGCATTGCGAGCGGCCATATTGCTTCGCAAGTGCTCATTAATCAGAATCGGTCACTTATTTAAAATTTTAGAAATAGTAGTAGTTGGGAGTCCAAAATATGAACTGTGATTGGTGGAATTTATTTTTTTTGTAGTGTTCTCACTACCTAGAATGGGTATGAAATATATTCGTTCAGTTGAACCCAATAGAATACTTTTTTTGTTTTGTAGTCTGTGCGTAGATTAGCTAATATCCATGTGGGTATAGACAATACCAATTTTCAGCCTTTGAATATAGTAAAAAACCAACTATATACATTTTTACTTTAAGGCTTATGTTTATTTTAAAAACGTAGATGATCAATGTATATAACCATTTATATCATTGTCCGTGTCCACCAGGCACACGATGTTGCCATATAATAACCCAGTTGGGTATGCGGCAGTTAAAAGCCTTTTAACTTTTACCATGCTTTTACCCAATACAGTTACTTGGCCTTCATAAGGCCATCATCAAATAACATAATACTGGGCCACTATGGAAATGCCAAAAGTAGGCTTTTATGTTTTAATCGTCGCATTCATTTTCCCTCCAATTACAGCAAAAGGCCAGCAATATCCCGACAATTTATTGTTTGTTGGGGTATTACAAAGGTACGGACACTTTGTTTATCCACATCGGACACATCTGTCCCATTACATTTATACCTATTACTGCTGCGTTTGAGAATCCACATCGGATGTATTTTTTACATCTCGAGCGTTTTTTTATCCACATCGGACACATCTATCCCATTACATTTACGTATACTGAATCACGTGATCAAAGATTTTTTACATCTCAGATGCATCGGATGTGGATTCTCAAACGCGGCATACGTATACTGAATCACGTGATCAAAGATTTACTACATCTTAGATGCATTCGATGTGGATTCTGAAACGCGGCAATAGATTCTCCCACATGCTTTGTGGATTCTCCTCTTTATTTTATATTAATAAGTACTTTTTTCCCAATTAAGTACATTTTCCAAAAAAATTCAGTACAATTTTAAAAATCGTCGCGGCAACACTGCATGGGATATTTATACGTGTTCTGTGGTTTAGACAGCAGACAGAGACAGACGCATTTTTATTTTTCTATGCATTTTAGACGTTTAGCTCAAGACGCACGCATGCTAGCTGCTCCTAACAAAAAAGATGTAAATGTTTGTGTGTTTGGTGTAAACATAACCCAATAATTTTAATTTTAAAATTTAAATCATAAAATTCGTCGGCGAAAATGAAAAATTTCACATTCAAACATCTAATTTTACTGTCATCTTTGTACGTTTGTACCGTTAATGGTTTTTTAAATTTATATTTAAGTCTTCCTGAAGTTCAAAGACTTTTGGGTAAGTATTTGTCAACTTTTTTAAATGTTTATAAATAGAAAACACTGTTTATTGCGCTTGTATGTGTGACAGAATCGATCAACGTGCTTGTTATTTAGGGTAAAATTGCTAACTCAGTCAACCCTTAATAAAAAGTTATTTACTCTTAAATGATATAATGAAAATTCAATACTTCGACATCTAAAACCAATGAACCCTTCTCTATCTACAGAAACATAAGTATACGGTACTGTCAATTCAGTTTTGAAATTTCAATAATTTTTAATGATTGTAACAAGAAATACCTATCCTATTCTATTATACAAATATGTATATTATATTTATTTATGTGATTGTAAATTCTTTTGCAATATTTACAAATTTCTTACAAAACAACATCAAATATGAAGTAACATAATTTAAAATTGTACATACCTAACTGAAACAATATTAAAACAAAATAAAAAATTAGAATGAACAAGACATATAGGTCAATTTATGGAGAAAGTACAGAACATAGAAAAATTGTAATAAAAGTAATAAAAATAGTGAAAAGAAGAAAGAAAATCATGCAGAGTTAAACACCTAAGTGATTGAATACTTTTGTTTTTTGCCACTAAATAAATGATCGATCTACTACCTATGTACTTAATGGTATATTAAATAAAAATTGAACATATAGAGTACCTAATTTGAAAATAATAATAAAAATAATAATTGTCATTTATTGAACTGAAAATTCAATCCAATGACTGAAGTCCTTCTGCCTATTGTACTGCATATAAATGGGGTTATAAATATTTTATATCACAATTTGAAAATAAAAAAAGAAAATTATTATTATTTTAGTGTGTATCTATACCCAGGGCCGCCGAAAGCCATGGCTGGTTCCCAGGGGCAAGACACTGGCAAGGGCCCACCCTCACAAGTTATAACATATTTTTTTAAAGCTGCTGAGCCCCCCTGGGCACGGGCTCCGCTTATTTTGCCCACATGCTCCTCCCTCTCCTCAGTTTTATCTATACCTATTCTATATAATTATGAAAAATTAATTTTCTAGTTACATTTGAAAAATATTTGGATCTAGTGACAAGCCTAATCTCCAGTGCTCGCTCTAGTAGTAATAGATTGTATGTTTTAGGCACAGTATTTTTCTATAATTCTTCAGGTGGATAGAAACTTATTGGCAATATTATGGGTTTGGTATACAAAAGGTATACTATTCTGTTTAGGGACATATAATTTTCTAGTAGAAGTAGACCTTACAGAGTACTTCTTATAGTCACTAGTTGGATTCTGTTATGCCAAAATAAGGATGAAATGGGATTTTATCAATATCTCTTTTTGTTCCAATAGGATTTCTTGATCCTGTTTGATGTAAAAATAATTTTTTGATTTTTTTTTGCCGTTTTTTTTTTGATTTTTTTTTGCCGTTTTTTTTTTAATTTTTTTTTCTATATAAATTCCCATAATTTTTGTTTCAATTTTTTAATTAATAACAATTTTTATATATTAAGATTAATTCTAGTAATTTTTACATTATTAACATTATTTTTTTATATTCGAATGTGTAACAAATTTATTTTTCTTAACTTAGATTATGTTAATGTTAATAATAATTATCTTTAAGTTTTAAGTGTACTGTATTTGTATTTCTATAATATTTTTTTGTATATTAGCTTTATCCTACTTCAATAAATATCTATCTATCTATCTTTAAAGGTAGGTTTTCATTAAGACATCAATAGTTTAGTGGAAGTAGACTTTACGTATTACTTCTTATATCCACTGGTTTAAATATGGCATGACTTAGTTTATACAGTTATACCCACTAGTCAAATTTAAAAAAAAACTTTTTTTCCATAGGGCCACAGGGGTTTAGGACATCCAGTTTTTTACTGGAAGTGGATCTAATGAAATACTTATATTAACTATTTAAAATTACTCTCAAAAGAAAAATTTAAAATATTTTATTTTAAAAGATGTTTTTTCAATAAGACATCAATGGTTTGGGAGATCTACTTTTTTATTTAAAGTATACCTTGTAGGGCATTCCCGAGGGGCAAATCACTCCCGCAATACGTGTACAAAATGTCCGCAATCCCATTGAAAATCGCCGCAGTCTCATCAAAATCAGTGACAATCGCTAAGAAATCGCCGCAGTCGTTCCGAATTCGCTCGCAGTCGTTCCGAATTCCCTTGCAGTCCCCCGAATTCTCTAGCAGTCATTGAGCAATCACTAGCAATCGTTAAAAAACGCGCGCAGTAAGGTGACATTAACCAATTAGCCATTGTTGATGTAGGGTGCTTTGATTAAGCCATCTAAACCATTTTATGTAAAGAAATTGCAGTTTACATTTATCGAAAGGGTCCTTCCGTGCATTTTGAGGCAAGAACTATTAAGTTAAATTTACATTTTGGAATATGAAGGTTTTTTTAGGATAAATTTAGACACTTTACAAGGTGGTCGAAAATTGTCCCTTTTCATCTAGTTTT